AAAAAAAAAAAAAAAGTGAGGGAAAGGGAAGTACGAGAAAGAGAGATAGGGGAAAAATGAAAAGAGGGAAAGGGAAATTATGAAAGAGAGGAAAGGGGAAAAAATGAGAGAGGAAAGTTTACCAAAAAAAAGTTTATGCCGAAAAAGTTTAGACTTTTTTTTTAAACTAGACTTTTTCTAAAGTTTAAAAAAAGTGATTGTTATATTGTTAATATTAAATCACATGATGCGCGTAATACTTAATTTATTACAAAAAGTTTGTATAACCGAAAATATGGACTTTTTTTTCCCCATTTAAAATACTTATTTATTTAAACTTTTTTTCCCACTTATAATATTTATATAAACTTTTTTTCACGCTTTTTTACAACTATCTATAATCTAAAAACTTTTTTCTCTCCTATAGAAATATTATTATTTTAGTAAAAGCTTTTTTTCAATGGAAGAACGTTTATAGAGGAACCAGAAAGTATTATGTAGTACATGAAAATTTTGGTTTTCTTCTAACTCCAGTTTACTATTATTTTTTTTTAATAAAGTATTACGTTTTACTACTAAAAAAAAAATATAAAATAAATCTTTTATCGGAAAATGGCCCATATTTTATATTGTGAGTTGAAATAAAAAATGATCTGATTGACGAGAAATAGTTGTGGCTGATATTTCTAAATTAGCAAATAGTTGTAGGTTCAATATTTAGTTTAGTTTTGTACTCCCATGTATTGTTGTTATATTATCTTACCCATTTTATTTTTTATTAGTCTAAAAATAAATATCTATTTATATCATATTTGGCTACGGGTAGCTTTCCACTTTTCTTTTCTTTAGATGAATCTAGACGCATAAAATTTGGTTGGTATATATCAATTTATATCATATGATTATAAACAAAAATGAAAGTATTTATTTTTATTTATTTAATTGATACTAATTGCTCATTTATTTATTTTTTCTTTTTAGGATACTTTTATTAGCAGTACAAACTTCTGGATTTATTAGTATAAACAGACTTGTTAGAGGTCATAAGCTATCCCACCAGCTGGCAAAGTGTATGAAATTTCTTTTAATTCATCACAAAGAAAGCCTTGCTAAAGTCATCTTTAGTGTAGGTCTAGTAATACATTGCCTTAATTGAGCGTGGCTACGAAGTTTATGATTCCACTAACAATCGACCCTATAATCACATGATAGTCACATGCTAGAAGTGTTTCTGGCTCTGATTTATTTCGCTTTAAAAAAATTTTTTATGCAATAAATATGTATTTGTAATTAAAAGCTGCATTATATTGATATTTATTAATAAATAATTGCAAAAAAATATTTTTTTCTAATTGTATGACAATAAGCAACGCATAAGTATTTAATCTTTTAAAAAATAATTGTATATTATAAAAAATGTATTTAGAATACCGTGAATATGCTAAAAAGATGTCTTCTTAACAATTTCACAATATTGTAAAAAATATCTGCCTAGTATAGTTAAAATGTCATGCAAATTAACGTTACATGACCATATCAATATCATCCAAATGTCATTTCATTATTAGGATGATATACTAAGAAAATTCGACCGTCACGTTACTTTTAAGATTCATAGACAGTATAATTAAGGTAGCTTAATGATACCTTAAAAAATTTCGAGTTTCTGCAAAGTTCTGATTAAAATTGCGTTTAAAGCGCTCGATCTTTGATATTTTTGATCAAAGTCATATGGATCAGAATCATTCCGTATTCTCTGTCTATCTTGTTCTGCAATTTAAATCTATCTCGGGCTAGGCAGCGATGTGTACTGGAACTGAAGTTGAAAACATATTATTTGGACCTCCAAATATTTCGAAACCAATTAAACTGAAGCTTCTGATAAAGAAATACATACTACTTTAAAATAATATGTATTGAATTATTAAGGTCCAATAAAAAATCATTGAAAGTTTCCAACGCATATCGCTAGTCTAGAGTATTTTACAAACGATTTCTCTAACGATTTTAAGACGTAACGTTCTTTTATAGTACTGATTACTGTACGGACCACGGATTAATAAACAATGCCAAAACCTATAATACTGTTACGGACAATACTTTATTTGTTCAATACATTTTATCTTAATATTAATAATTACTATAAACTTTGTCACTATTACCATTTGTAAGCGAATTTCTTTTTCGTATAACTTAAATATGATAAATTACATAAAAAAATTAGATAATTAATAAGCGCTAATTAATTATAGACACAAAAGAATTTGTGATGCAACTGATGCATGCTGTACTTTCACTTCCATTTCCTCAAAAACCTGCTAACAAACCTTGACCAATGAATTTGTAAAGTGGATTACAACTCGATTGTTATTGTTTATCGGGAAAATCCGAATTACCCGTGCGTACATGCATTCTAATTATTATAAGTCGCTTAATTTAGTATATAATTGTGCCACATGTTTTACCATATTGTTACCTTTTTATTATTATAATCAAAAAAAGGTTTCTTAGTAAAAATTACTTAGTACTTTTTTTATTTTATTTTATTTTATTTTAAAAGAGACAATTTTTTTGATTCGCATTACAATGTTCAAAAACCGATCATCGCTTTATGTATTTTTATTCTTGAAAACATGTTCATCATTAAAGTTATTGAAACCAAGAATTTGTATTTGTCTTTAAGAATTTAGAGACATATTGTAGATGCATTATCATGTTATGGTCCGAGTCTAGACTCCATTTATTCATCAATATATATAATTCATGTGCATTTACATAGAACTTCCATTTTGCCAACATGAAAATTTGTCACCACCATGTTTTTTTTGTTAAATTATTTTTTAAATCATTTTAATTTACATCAAAATTGCAAATATTAAATTTATTTAACAAATACTTAATATAATAATATTACATCTCAATTTTTTAATTTTATCCTAGTAAAGATAAATTACCAAATAAAAAAATAAAAATATTTTATAATTTAAATGCAAAACGAGTCATCGTTATAGTTTGTCTTATGTTATTTAGTTTTTTTTTGCGAAAATATCAAAAAAATTTTTGGGTGGTAAATGGTAATCGTAAATATTAAAAAAAAAATAATTAATTAAAGCACTAATTTTTAAAAAGAAGTCTGAGAAAGTTTTGAGGGTATAATATACATATATAACTTTCTAAATACAAGGCGAAAGTAAAATATAATATTTATCAGTATCGGTAGAAATTTACTATAAGTTTGTTAAATGAAATAAGCAATAAGTAGAGTAAATAATTTTCAAAGAGACGAATAAAAAATTGTTAAAATCTAAACCAAGTGTAATAATAAACTGTGTGTTGACAATTTGGTGCATGCTCCGAGAAGGAAATGATTGTCAAATTATAACCTGTTCCAGTGATTGGAACCCTGTAAAAATTTTAGAAAATTTACAATTCGTAATTTTACGGACCAAAATTGCAATAATAATAAGACTTCTGTCTTCCGTCTATTGTAATGAAAATATTATAAACAAAAGTGATGATAAATAATCACTAATACAGTACTTTTAATATTTACAATTTTATAAAGGCAAAATTGACGAACGCTTTCGGGAGATTAGAAAATTTTTTCTAAATTTATTCGACGATTTATCATAAACATTTCGTTTTTAATATGTATTAAGATTTAACAAGAAGCTATATAAGATTAAAAAAAAACAATGATCTTTAGTTATATCAAAACAATTAGTCAACCATTGATGCAAAAATTACAGAACTACTGGCTCCCTCATATATTTATTACACCAGTAACACCGCTATAAAATTTTTATTGTAAATGGAAAAGTTTTTGTAAATCAATCAATTGCCGCTAAAAGTGGTTGGTTAGCTTTTTAAAAAAGGAACCCGCCTAGAAATTTAGTTTATTGTTAACGTTAACGTTAACGTTTCGTTCGCATCCATTCAGGCTAACGATACACCCGCGGCCACCGACCCTGCACGCAACAGGTTACTTTATGTTCCTAACATTCTGAAGAATTGTGGGATTTTGTTGAGTCCTTTTTTAGACTTTTTGATGAGTTTAAGCGGCGCAGTACTGCACTATCACGGTTTCTTTTTTCTATTTACTATTTTATTTTATTTTACTTTATTTTTTTCATTAATATTTTTTCCTTATTCTTTTTTCTCTTCTTTCCGGTTTTACGGTTTTCTTAAGACCGGATTACTAATTATTATTTTCTTCCCCTTTCTCCTTCTTCCCGGTTTCTTAAAATTGGAATTTTTTTTTATTTTTCATTCTTTTTTCTCCTGGATCATTGGATCATTGGATCTTTTTTTAGATCATAATCGTTTGTCATTTTTTTTTTTTGCTTTTTAGGTCCAGCTCGACACAGTAAACGCAAAGTTTTAGTTTCGTCATTTTTTTTTATTTAATTATTTTTCAATTTTTTTTTCGTCTTTTTAGTTCCGGCTCAGTATTACGACGGCAAGAATCGATTTCATATTTTTTTTTCATTTCATAGCTTATTTTCTTTAGGGTTAGAAACTCACAGATCGGGAGATTCGCTTGCCCTTCGTTTCAACCCTTTTTTTATTTGGTTTTTACTAATTATTTTTTTTTTAATTTTTTCTTTTCATCTTTTAGAATTGGGGACTTGTGAATTTGAAGATGCACGCTTATCACTACTGTACTTCATATTTTTTTTTTATTTTCATTACTATGGTATTCTTTGCAGGGGTGGCAATTTCCTTTAAATTGAACTTGGAATCTGGTAAGTTTCAGTAGAGAAGTGTTAAAATTATTTCTTTGTTTATTTACTAATGTTACTTTTTTTTGCTTTTTTTTTCTTTTTGTAGAGACGGTGGCTTTTTAAACGAAGACAGTAGATAGAAAGGAATAATACCGTAACTTAAAACGTTTCAAATGAAACTGATTTTTGTTTCTTTTTGTAAGTAGAGGTGTTAAACGTCTTTGAAATAAATAGAAACATTTTTTTATTAAGAACCGTTTCTAATAAAACATTTATCTTCTTTTTTTAGAACTCCGGCTTCTTAAATAAGTTAAGCCAGGGATCAATTTAATCAAACCATTTGCATAAGTTGATTTATTTGGTATTAATGTGTTTCTTTTGCTAATCGACAAGTATTAGCTCCTTCTTTATTTTTTTTTCATTTATCCTCGTTCCTTATTTTTCTGTTATTAGGCTGCTAACTTTTGGATTCTGTATTCCCGATATTTATCTATTTTTGATTTTGGTGTGTGTTGGTTTCGATCTTGATCTATGATATGGTTCTTTATATGCGTGTCTTGATTTTTATTGGTTTATCTTGATCTTTGGTGTGTATTGGCCTTTGATCCTTGGTGCGTATGTATGTAATGTATGTTTGATTTTTAGTTCTTGATCTTTAGTGTATATATTCTTGATTTTGATGTGTATCAGGCTCTTGATCTTTGATGTATTGTATTCTTGATCTTAGGGTATATGATACTATTGGAATACTTTATGTATTGTATATTATACTATTGGAATACTTTATGTATTTTTCTCATTTATATAAAAGTTAATAAATTTAAATAAAATTAAATGCAAAGAGCGATAAAAATTTAACAAATTTAATAAGTCACGTGAATACTACTATATGTGCTCATGTAACACTTATGTGATGGTGCAGTACCACTGATTCTCCTGTTAAATTATAAAATTACTATGATGGATAATCAGTATTTGATTTCTATTATTTCTATTCTAATTTAGACGTTAATTAACGAAATGGTAATTTAGATCGGATTGTTAACATTAAAATAGATTTCAATAAACAATCATTTAAAATTAGTTAGATTTAATTGACCAGCAATGACGTGCTTCAAATAAAATCAATGAATTGATCTATTTACCTATATTTTCTTTTATTTTATTGCTTTAATTAATAAATTAATAAACGATATTATTCAATAGCTATACAAGAATAGATTTGTAATTATACAATGATTATTTAATCAGAAGATCCCGTTTTGTTAAACGTTTACTACTACTTGTTTAAAAAATTATTAAAAGCCGACGAATGAAAAGAACAATTTTATTCCAGATAAAATTTCATTACGAGAAAATCTGTTAAGATTTGCCATTATAGTTATCTTATTACTAGCTTATTGTTATTAAAAAGAAATATATTATTCTATATATATGTCATATTCTCTGCATATATAGCAACTAGTAAGAAACGAAACTTCGAAAAAAAAAAACGAAAAAAAAAATTACGTTTGTGATATAATACTTATCTTAATTAATTTTCGAGCGAAAAGCCTTAAAAATGTTAAGTTTGAGTTTGTGATATTGAAAACGAATTATAACAACTAGTAATAAACAAAACTTCGAAAAAAAATACGAAAAAAAAATTGCGTTTGTAATATAATACTTATCTTAATTAATATTTAAGCGAAAAGCCTTAAAAATGTTAAGTTTGAGTTTGTGATTTTGAAAACGAATAAATGATATAATAAGAGAAATTCATTTTTTGATTGTAATGAGAATCGAAATATACTATTTAACGCATGAGAATAAGAAAAAGTGCCAATCCTAATTAATCAATCAACCATAATGGGCGACTGAAATAAATAGCTTTTGAGTGATTTGAGAAAGTATTGAAATTAGAATTTTCCAAATTTGAGAATTTTGTTTCTTCAGCAGCGTCAAATTGATTTGATAAATCAGATGGGTCAGGGTTATTACAAATTGCTATGACCCAATTTCCCAAACATTCGTTAAGCTGAGATGCTGTTGGTCTATTGGATGGATTTGCATCTAGACATTGTATCATTAAGCTGAAGAAAACTGGCGGAGTTCCATTTACAACGCTCGGTCTCAATCCTAAGCAGATTTCCTGAATTAGTTGTTTGTTAGGTCTATCACAATAAGGACGCACACCAGCTAATAACATCCACATGACAATTCCAAAACTACAGATATCAGATTCTTTAGTTGGGGTATTTCCATTAAAAATCTCTGGTGCAACAAAAGGAATTACACCGTAACAAAAATTAAACAAACTATTACACATGAGTACAAATATAAAACAAATTTAACACATTTCATTTTTATAGGGAATTTGTTAATTCGGGAATCAAACATCCTCTCAAGCTCGATCCGGATAATCCAAGTTCGGGTTACTAATTTGGCCAGCCTATATTTGGCCTAAATTAACTATAGTATTACGTATGCAGAATCGTCATCCGAAGATACGGATCAGATTGTGATACAAATTAACGATATACAGTATGTATTTGACTATATTCGGTAAATTTTAAAATTAATTTTACGAAACATACTTGAATAGAACAAATCAAGTGTTCATTCGACAGGATTCACAAGAGTCAAAGTTTACATGTTGTCGAAAGTTTTTTCAATTTCGACCGCATTTCGCTCCAAAGCAAAGCCTTGTCAGACCATTTTCTGAATAACATTTTCCTGAATATACCTTTTCCCGAATCCAATTTTCTGAATGCCTATTTCCAGAAGATTTTAACGCTCTTTTTCGCTTGATTTATATGAAATTGAAGTGCCTTGCATTTTTATTTTTAAATAAAGAACGTGTTTAAATAACAAATTCTAAACATGCGATATTAATTACCGCGTGTAAAAGTCTTCAAGTTTGCATAAACCTGTTCAATTCTTTCCACGTCAGCATGAATTATGTGCTACAGCATGATTTTCTTTGTTGTCATTTTGTCATGTTAGTTCACGTGATCATAAGCCAATCATAATGTCTGAATATTTATAGGACCGGCTTTCCGCTTTTGGATAATAAGTATCAACTGATAATCGTGTTGCTCAATTTAGAAACATGGGAGTTTTAATAATGAGACAAATCAATTTGGTTACACCACGATTTCCCGACAACCTTTTTTCTGACATACCCTTTGCCCGACAACGATCACCCGACAAGACATATTCCCGAATGTATATTTTACCGACATAACACATTCCCTAATGGACATTATACCGACATGTTAGTTCTCCCGACATGACATTATCCCGACAACACATTTCCCGACAGACATTTCTCGACATGACATATACATTAAAAAAAGCGATTTCCCGAATTTCCCAATTATTTAAAATAAAACATATGGAGAAAATTTTTTTATTTGTTTATTCATATATTTATTTTAGTAAAAATTCGCAATTTCATGTACACTGTATATTTCATTTTAATAGTGCAAATTTTTAATAAAATAACTTGCAGCAACCCGTTGTGTCCCTACAAAAATTTATTTTAGTTGCATTTATTTATTTCCAGTTATTTTTTTAACAACTTTTTAAAAAAGAATTTGCCATAAGACAATTGTCTTATTAAATATATCCATGTCTTATAAAGTACAACGGTTTAAGAAACCTTTTTTAGATGTGTATAAGAGACAGGTTTTATTGTGCCTTGTGTAATATTTATTAGNAAATAAATTTAGATAAAAAAGTAAATTAAAACGGTTTTAAAAAATTATTAAAAAAAATGAAATAATTATTAAATAAATAAATATATATATATATAAAAACCATGCTGGTCGTGAAAAATCACATTGAAAAAAAAGGAAAATAAAGAACTGTTAATAACAGTCATTTATATTTATATTTATAAACATGATACATTATAATAAATTACTTTTTGTAAATCATCTCAACATGTCGGGAAATTTCTGTCGGGATATGTGTTGTCAGGATAATGTCATGTCGGGAAAACTAACATGTAGGTATAATGTCCATTAGGGAATGTGTCATGTCGGTAAAATATACATTCGGGAATATGTCTTGTCGGGTAATCATTGTCGGGCAAAGGGTATGTCGGGAAAAAGGTTGTCGGGAAGTTGTCCGACATTGATCAATTTTACCCCTATTAGTTGATCACTGCAGTATTCCTAATTATCAGAATGATCAGTTATTGGATGGGAATATCTTTCTTCGTAGTTATTTAATAATTGCTTGTTAAACTATCAAATATGATGTCAACATAATTTAACGTACAGATGTGTATGTCAAACGTAAATAACTTATAAAAATGATAAGTTTGCTCTTCATTTTTTTAAAAAAATTGCGAATGCTTCAAGATGTCTGGATCCAAAAAGATATATGGTAAATGTATCAATTGCACACGACAACGAATAGCATTAGCATGGTGTAAGAATTGCGATATTGCATTTTTAAAAGATAATTTTCATAATTGGACTAGTGGAAATTCTAAAATAGATGAACTTATTAAATATACTCAATTAAATGCTAAAGATAGTATGGATTATCTTGAATGGATCGATTTTGATCAATTCGACTTGGTCGAAGATATTAATAAACGTGGCGCTTTCAGTTCGATTTATTCAGCAGTATGGATGGAAGGCCCCAAATGGAATCTTGATGAAGAAACCAAAATATGGTCTCGTACTGGTCCAATTAAAGTGATTCTAAAACGATTAGATGATTCTCAGAACATAGATCGTGAATTTGTAAATCAGGCAAGTAAATTTTATCTATCTTAGTAGCTTGTATACTAGAATTTTATAGATCAGAGAATTCAAGTAATAAAATTAGAGATATTATAAGGGCCGTGATATTTATTACGTAAAATTTTAGGAGATATTATGTAATAAGTAGTAAAAAAAAGACTCAAAAAAATTCCGGAAAATCCCGATATTAGTATCCGGATTCTTAATGATTTATGTTAACAGTAAATAATTCGCATGAGAATGATTACGTATGATAACTGAAAAGTATTAATATTAACTCTTTATTTTTTTTTTCCTTTAAATTTAATCCAATAAAGTTATATAGATATCATAATTGCTTGCAAAGTGGAGCACTTGCAGATTGTTTTGGTATAACTAAAGACCCAACATCATGCTACATGTTCGTTATGAGATATTATAAAAATGGGAATTTATACTCGTATCTTGAAGAAACTAGGGGTATTCTTTGCTGGAGAGATATTATAGATATGTTATGGTCAGTATCCGCAGGTCTAAATTTCATTCACAAAAATAGTCTTGTTCATGGACATCTACATGGAGGAAACATATTAGTCGAAAGTAATGTGAACTCTATTGATACTAAAATTGCGGATACTGGATTACACGGACCTTCCGATAAACAGATATTATCCAAACAAATTTACGGTGTAGTTCCCTTTGTTGCTCCAGAGATCTTTGATGGAAAGACGCCAACTAAAGAATCCGATGTCTATAGTTTCGGAATGGTCATGTGGATGTTATCAGCTGGTGTGCGTCCTTATTGTGATAGACCTCATAATAAACAACTAATTCAGGAAATCTGCTTAGGATTAAAACCAGGTGTCGTAAGTGGTACACCACCTGTTTTCTCCAGTTTAATGTTACAATGTTTAGATGCGAATCCATCAAATAGACCTACAGCATCTCAGCTTGACGAATGTTTAGGAAACTGGGTAGCAATTTGTGATGATCCTGATCTAGTATCTGATTTATCAAATCAATTTGACGCTGCTGAGGAAACTAATTTCTCAAATTTAAAAAATTCTAAGTTCAATACTTTCGCGAGTCACGAAAAAGCTTTTTATTTTAGTCGTCCATTATTAGATTGCTAAAGATTGGCGCTCCTTTTTTTTTAATTCTCATACGTTAAATATATTTTTCGATTTTTTTAGTTTTTAATTTTATTATAATTTATTAATTTATCGTAGATTTCAATCAGAGATTTAATTCCTTTCATCGTCATTATTTATTCGTTTTTCTGAAATCATAAACACCGCAAACTCATACTAAACGTTTAAAATAATATGTTCCATAGTTTTTAAGATTTTTCTTTCACAAATAAATTAAGCTAAACCAAACTCCTATTTCGTTTAAAATAAGATATTATACACAAACACATAATTATTTTTTTTGAATAGTTATACTGTACGTAAAATATAATAGTTACGATATATCATGATATCATTATAAGTCAAGAATATATGACGGTAAGTTTTAAATGGTCGTATATGAATTTTGTCTAGCGTAGAATTTCCTTGATATTTTTTTTTCAAAATAAAATTTTAAAATTTAAAAGGTCATTCCAACTTAATTGTTTGCTTAACCATCTATTTATTTAGTTCTAATAAATACGATAATATATTTGTAAATCTCAAACAAGTTAAAATGTTGTAAAACTAAATAGAATATACAATATTAGATAAATCCATTATTAAAATAATCAAAACAATATTGTTTAACTATAATATGATTGAAATCGTGTTATCAACTTATCATACATTGGTTAAAGATTAGTAAAATGACGTAGCAATGGCTTGGCTAATATAAAATATTACAACACTGTGATTAGGATCATTATTTATAAAAGACAATAAGACAATTTAATATCTAATCTTTGAAAATAAAAATTTCTGACTTGATACCAAAAAATGAACATAAGAGAATCTAAGAGATAAATAGTTTCCAATAGAACTTAACTTATTGACCTTAACTTTTAAAATAAGCTTACTTTTCTACGTATGTGTATCGAAAAAAAATAAAAAAACTATTAAGAGTTTAATAATTAATGGAGAAAATATTAGTTAGACATACAATCAGAACTCGATATAACGATTCGTGATAAACCGATTTTAGCCTATAACGAACTTTTTTCTCAAACCAAAACCGTCTATATTAAATTTTATCACTATATACCGATTTTATTATAAATATAGCAATATTATATATAACGAAGTCTGATCATAAACCAGTCATATGTATTTATTCACGATAAGCCGATTACCACCTAACTCCGGTCAGAATTAACTTATTCCCGGCTGGCACTATGCAGCGCAGCAGATCACCTGACATTTATGCCTTAATTTTGGAATTTAATAATTTCTGTAAGAATATGATATTAATAATAAACAAATTAGCACAGCATGTAATACAATTAAAATCATTTTTTTATTAATAAAAATTTGGTATACTGAATTTTTATATTTTTTACTATATAATCGGTATATTAAGAATATTTGATTTATCGAATATCAGATATAACGATCCAAAATTGCCTAACCGGAGGGTTCGTTATATCGAGTTCTGACTGTAATACTTGACATAAAGGATCAATCCATATAACTAGTAAGCCACAGTTCTAAAACTGTTCTCTTTAATTTTTTTTAACATTTATTAAAAAAAATTTTTGAAAAATTTCGTATGAATCTCATTAAATCTGAAGTAGATGATAAATTGTTTAGCCGATTAGTTGATCCGCACATGATCACATGACACTGTGATCATATGTCATAAATAAAACTCAATTGATTCATGAATGTTAAACTACTTTCTTAAACTTTCTTAAATATAGAGAAGTTAAACTTAGAAATTTATTGTGGCACAAAATTGTCACCTTCTATATTTCAGTCGTCAGTTTTAGAGTTTGGAACCGTCCTAAAAAACCTTAACCGGTTAATTAACCGGTTAGGCTGTTCAAATCCAATATTTTGTTTAACATATTAACCCCCTCTTTTTCAATTTTTGGAGGATTTATAAATTTAGGTTAAAATTAGAAGAAATATCCTAATTAAGCCATAATTTTTTAAGTGTTCAATTAATAAATTATAACATTTAATTCTGGCCATTTTTTTTGTTAAATTCCTCTCCCCGGTAAATCTCAATCTTGTTATGTTAAATAATATATTGGATTAGTGCTTAATTATAAATGAACGGATTTAGCCCACATTATGCTTAATTTTGTCCAGGATTATGTTTAATTTTGGCCAAAATATAAACCCAACTATAAAATTTATGATATATTTCTTTTATTTATTTAATCAAATACATTCTTATTTTTCATTTCAAAAAATCATTTTTAATTTTAATACATAATATATAAAAACTAAATAATACTGTAACTTATAAATAAAAATAATTAATAATTTGATGTGATTTCATTTCTAAATTTTATAAAATAAAATCAGTTAGTTTATTATTTATTAATATAAAGTAATATATAATAAAATTATTTACCTTATTTCACATTGAACTTTTTTATTTTCAAGTTTTATGAAGAACCTCCACAAAACTTTTTTCATTTTTTCCTGGTTTTTAATTTTTTGTTACTTTGGTCTGCAAATGTTGAAAAAGAAGACCTTTTAGATGTTGAGGTAGATAGTGCTGCTGATTGTTCAGAAGGAGTTTCTTCTACATCTCTATAATATAAAAATTCCGAAAGGTTGTCATACTCAGACATAATTGTAAATTTTAAAATAAATGAAATAAAATCTTAAATAAACTTAAAAAAAATATCTTAAAGTGAATTTTATTAATGTTAAATAAATGTATAATTTTTTTTATTAATTTTAAGATAAAAAAAAAGAATTTTTTCGTTAACATAAAAATAGATGTATTTAAAAGTTGCAAGAAATTCTCCGATATAGTGTTCCGGGTGGAAAAAGAGAATTCTATAGGCTCTATTAGTTGTTATTGATAATGATAATATTAAAAAAAGTATGTAAAAACGTGTCTACAAAATTAGAAAAATTAAACTAGTATACAGTATGTGCAAAAGTTGTTTATACTTTCGCTTAATCAGTTTTTAAGAAAAACAGGTAGTATTTATTTATTAACACTGTAAATAATACTGTTTAAAACCAAAACCGTATTATGCCAGAATGAACAATAAAAATATACCTGAATTTCGAAGAACGAACAAAACGAGACATTTTAACAACTTCAGCAAATTTTAGATAAAAGGCTAAACAAAGAAAAAAAATTCTATATGGTTATTTGAATTGAGATTCGACTTGAATATTCACTCGTCGATCAACTGTATAACCCGAACTTGACTCCCGATTATAGCTTAACCCGGATAAACCAGGTCAAACTCAAATATTAAATTTTTTTATGATCAGCAAAATTAATCATCAAGTTACATGATTTGTTTTTTCAACCATTTCACAATTTTAATTATAATAATGCCATCTAATGTACTTTGGCCTTCTGCTATTAAGATTTTTGCTTTTTTTGATTTGGATCTTTATCTGGATGGTATTTCTCTAATGATGCCAAAGATTGGTCGTATTGGAGTCACCAATTTTTTGTAACCTAGAGTTAAAAAGAATTATTAAATAATAATATAAGTAGTTAATATTAAATGTATATTTTAAATTAAATATTATACTTTAAAATTTTTTACTTATGGACAGCTAAGACAGGTAACTTCGCGATGCGATTTTTGTTCCGGAGAGATTTTTAACAAAAAGCTTACTACGTAAAATTTTTCGTTTTTCGAGTTGAGTTGTCAGTTCATCAATATCAATAGTCTCAGACATTATATTTTATTTATTAGTAAAGTTTTTAATCATTTCGAGTGATGAAAAAAAATGCGTCATCCGGGTCACGTCACCCGGGTTGATCTGCTGCTGGGTCAAAGCGTTGCGGATCTCGGGTCAGGTCGATCACTCGGGTTTGATCCGACCCGTACGGAGCACTAAGTCCGATATATTGTGTATCAGAAAAAATTTTGTATCAAATATGACAATGATCAGCATTTTAACGGTAACCAATTACTAATTTAACCGGTTCGGTTAAAAATTGTTTTTTACCCGGTTGACAAATGTTCAGTTTAATCTTTAACCTCAATTTAATATTGGTCAGATGCTAGAATGTTCCAGACTACAAGTATTTATAAGCTGCTGCTTAAAAACTATAAATAAAAGCGTTTTACTTACTCTTCTTACTCTTCATAATTTTTTTAAAAAAATTACAAACGCTTCAAGATGTCTCAACACGTTGGATCCAGAAAGACATATAATGAATGTTTCGAATGTGCACGACAACGAACAGCAGTAGCATGGTGTAAGAATTGCGATATTGCATTTTTAAAAGATAATTTTCATAATTGGACTAGTAGAAATTCTAAAATAGATGATTTTATTAAGTATACTCAGTTAAACGCTAAAGAGAGTATGGATTATCTTGAATGGATTAATTTTGATCAATTCGACTTGATCGAAAATATTAATAAACGAGGCGCTTTCAGCTCGATTTATTCAGCAGTATGGATGGAAGGCCCAAAATGGAATCTTGACGAGGAGGCCGAATTATGGACTCGTACTGGTCCAATTAAGGTGATTCTAAAACGATTAGATAATTCTCAGAACATGGACCATGAATTTATTAATCAGGCAGGTGAAAGTTTTTATCTGATCTATCCTTATAAAATTTTTTTTCAGAAAATGATCACGTGACTGGGTTTCTTTCGGAATAAAACTAGAAAAATGATCATTTATCGGAGATTTTTCTAGAATTTTTTTATAGGGTAGCCATAATTCGTTGTATAGTATATAAGTAATAAGATCTGATCTTTAAATTTTATATAATTTTTAAACAAATTTAGATCCGTTTCTTCAGTGGATTCGTTATAGATAACAGGTTATGACGATAGTAGTGGAGTACGGTGGAAGTGTTGAGTGGAGTACGGTGATATTTAGAAGTAACTTATAAATATGTGAAATGTACTCAAGTGATAAATAATACCTCCCATATTATGATGATGATTTTGACCAGCTCATTTTATTTATCACTTGAGTACGTGAACCATCAATTAATTAAATTAAACTTATGTAAACTATTTATTGTAAAGTATCATATAGAAGTTTATTATTAGTAGAGAATTTTTTTGAAATGGCTTAATTTATGCCGGTTATAAATTAAATACCGGTATTTTAGATTAATTCGGATTTTTTAATTTATAATTTCTCATTTTAAAAAATATTATAAATTAACATATACACAGTGAAATTCGATATAATGGAACCATCCGTTCAATTAGTAAAGTTTGTCAAAGATCTGTTATATCGAGAAATCCATTTCATCAATAGTAAATTAATGATAAATCCGTTCCAGACCCCAATTCGATATATCAAGGTTCCGGTATATCGAATTTCACAGTGTTAAATTAACATAACAAGTGTTTCTCGGAAAGTAATTTATCCGTGCACGCCTTGAAACAGAAGCCATTAAATTTCCGAAACTAATTTCGATAAATCGTATTAGTCTTTGTGCAATACTACAAGATTAAAGAAGTACACAAACCCTAAAAAAACATGACACCTCGCTTTTTTGAAAAATACTAAAGAAAAAATTTTTTTCTTATTGAGAAGTATCCAAAAAAAAGCTAAAAAAGCTTGAATTATTAATTTTTATTTGAAAAGGAAGGTGTCATGAAAAAGACAACTATTTGCAGAATTTGGGAATTGGGATGAAAACAATAAGAATCTAGAGTTATGAACGTGTGAATTATAATAGGAATTACTACAATACTATAAGTTATCATGATCGTCAAAAAAAAATTCTAATAATAAACTTTATATGATACACATAATTTAATTAAATTGATGGTACTCCACTCATCATTATCACACCGGACTCAACTATTCGTAGCATTTCAACCTGGTAGTACATTTTAATTGTGAATTTCATAAAAAATAGATTGATGTCAACAATAAATTCTTAAAATTTTAATTCGCATGAGTATGATTACGTATGATAACTGATATTAACCATTTAGTCTTTTTTATCTAATAGTTATATAGATATCATAAATGCTTGCAAAGTGGAGCACTTGCAGATTGTTTTGGTATAACTAAAGACCCAACATCATGCTACATGTTCGTTATGAGATATTATAAAAATGGAAATTTATACTCGTACCTCGAAGAAACTATGGGGATTCTTTGCTGGAGAGATATTGTAGACATGTTATGGTCAATATCCGCAGGTCTAGATTTGATTCACAAACATGACCTCGTTCATGGACATCTACATGGAGGAAATATATTGGTCGAAAGTGATGTGAACTCTATTGACACTAAAATTACGGATACTGGATTACACGGACCAGTTGATAAACAAATACCATTCAAACAAATTTACGGTGTAGTTCCCTTTGTTGCTCCAGAGATCTTTGATGGAAAGACGCCAACTAAAGAATCTGATGTATATAGTTTTGGTATGGTCATGTGGATGTTATCAGCTGGTGTGCGTCCTTATTGTGATAGACCTCATGATAAACAACTAATTCAAGAAATCTGCTTAGGATTAAGACCAAGCGTCGTAGATGGAACTCCATCTGTTTTCTCCAATTTAATGTTACAATGTTTAGATGCGAATCCATCAAATAGACCAACAGCATCTCAACTTTACGAATGCTTAGGAAATTGGATCACTGCAATTTGTGATGACCCTAACCCATCCGATTTATCAGAACAATTTGACGCTGCTGAAGAAATTAAATTCTCAAATTTAGAAAATTCTAATTTCAACACTTTTGCGATTCACGAAAAAGCTTTTTATTTCAGTCATCCATTATTAGATGCTTAGAGGTTGGCGTTTCTTCTTTGTTTAATTCTCATATTTTTCAATTTATTTAACTTTTAATTTTATTATAGTTTATCATAGATTTCAATCAGAAATTTAATTCCTTTTATCGGTATTATTTATTCGTTTTTTTCGATATCACAAACACCACAAACTAAGTAATGTTTCACAAATTAACTACTATTTCGTTTAAAAGCAAATATTATACGTCCCTATATATTTCGTTTAAGATAAGCAAATATTTATACACAAACACAGAAATTTTTTTTTCTCGTAAAATAAAATAGTTTCTTTATATTTATATCGTTATAATAAGTACTAAGAATATATGGCGGTAATAAGGTTTTAAAATAGTCTATCTCATATATGAATTTATCTAGCGTAGAATTTCCTTATTACGAAATCTTATTCGTCAACTTTCAAATAATTTTTTACTTTTAGAAATTTTAGGTATATTTAAAGTCCGTTCAAATTAATTGTATGCTTAACTACCTATTTTTTAGTTCTAATAAATACGATAATATGTTTAGTAATACTCAAAAACAATAATTAAGTTGAAATGGACTAAATTATAAGAAATAATAACTCGCTGTTGGTAATTTTCAAGAGCAAATTTCATTCTTATTGAAAAAAAAAAGATGTATCTTATTATGTGTAAAGATATAATAAATTCTTTTTATTCGATAACTGTAACAAAACGAATATGGTTTCCAAATTATGATTGTCCTTCAATTCGTAAATTGCGTTCAGAATCATTCCGTACAACGGTACAAGATTTTCCTTATTTTGTTGTTCTGCAATTCAAGTCTCAACTCTTGGTCTAAGCAGCGATATGTTCTGTAAGTTGGAAGCATATTCCAAATCTTCCAAATCTAATAAAAATGATTGGAAGCCTCCGTTATAAAAAATACGCATGTATAAGGTAATACGTGTTGAATTATAAATAGAAAGCTTCCAATGCATATCACTAATCTAGAATGTTCAACTAACGATTGATTCGTGATTCCTCTACTAACGATTTAAGACGTGTTTAATTAGTTAAAAGCTTAAAACCCATCTGAGTAAGTCAATATTTTAGTCGTTATTCTTTTAAATTTATAATAATATCAGAGCTGTTACGGATAATAATATTTCGTTTGCGATACTTTTTATCTTTCTATTAATAAATCTTATAAACTTTGTCACCTATTACCAATGAATAGATATTTTTGTAAGGCGAATTTTTTTCATAAAACTTAATGGGATGAATTACACAAATAAAAAAAGTAATTGCTAATAGACGCTACCGACTTATAAGCTATTAATTATAGCGCATGCCGTACTTTCACTTCCATTTTTACAAGACATATGCCGTTTGCTAGACCAATGAATTTGGGCATATTGCAATTTTTAGGTTGATTGTTAAAACCTATTATTTAATTAAAATATTAATCATTAATTATTTGTATATATTTATTCAAATATAAAAAAAAATAAATTATAAATTAATTAAAGATTATTTAAGTATAAAACATTTTATTACCTTAAATAAATAGATTAATTAAAAAAGTTTCTATACAAAAATACATAAATATTGCATGCTAATAAAGTATTAGCAAGTAAATAATCCATATACTAAACCTATAAAACTACTAATACTTTCTTGACTTGTTTTTATCGTTTTCCGTAAAAGGCTCGTATTTCCGGAATTAATCACGGAATTTATCGAATTGTTTACATTTTCCATGAATGGATCCGTGAAAACGGAGTTTTTACAGAAATAACGGATAAAAATTTTATAGGGCAAATAGTTAAAAATACATATTATTAGTGTATTAAGCGCCTAAAAATAATTTTTTACAAATAAATATATAATAGCTTTAAAAATATTAGTTATTGTCTCTAAATACGACAAAAGGTATTTTTTATTAATACTTACAGTACCAACAACATTTTAGCATTATTCAATAACCCAAAGAAAGTGTGATCGAAGTGTTTTCTGTGATCTAAAGTGTGATCTCAAAGTTAAGCAGTAAATATATTGAATTTTTTCTAGTAAAAAGACTTCGAGTTCAGAGTATACAGTATGCAAAGAGTCCATTTATCGTGACACATAAAGAAATTAAAATGTTATTAAAAAAAAAAAAAGTTTCGCAATCTAAACATATTGGTTATTATTAATAACGAAAATAATCATTATTATTTAGTATTTCATGGGGAGTTGGGAATAATAGGGTTTTTTTCCAGTCATTTCCAATCTAATATAAAATAAAAAATCAAACTTTGTTTAAAAAATTATCAAAGTAATTTTATTATGGTTAATACCTTTATGGGGAACGCAAGTTCAGGACCATTTACTCTTTCTTCAGGTTGTATAGGATGAGATACGGGGTAAAGTGAAACATTTGGTCCAAATAGAACACGATCTCCAATTTCAACTTTATTACAGTCCAATATTGTACAATTAAAATTACAAAAAAAATTATCCCCAATATGAATATTATATCCCTACGAAATTACCGTAATAAAAATATTAATTTCGTCACAAATATAATTGAATATGATAAAAACTCACATAATCACAATAGAATGGTGGTTCAATTTCAACATCCTTACCAACACTACCAAATTATTGACGAAAAATGTTTTCTCTTTCACGATATTCATCAGTTTTAAAACGAATTGGTTTAGAATTATTAAATTTATAAAGTATTTCTCTAGCTTTAAACCGATCATTAATTAATTCTTCGGAAAATCCTGAATATGGAAGTCCGGCAAGGGCTTTTTCTTTTTCACTTAACATATTTTCATTTAAATTGTTTTTTTCGGACATTTTTTTTTTTTTTGTTTCGATTAATCTAAGGTTTGTTTATGGGAAGAAAAGAAAACTTTCTTATATATACTGTTTATGTAAGATTTTTTTTTTATTTTATCGCGAAAATTACTGGATGAACCTTATGCACTAATCAAAAGGTAAATTAGAATTTTTACTCGGTTATGACCGATCCGGTAATGTTATTGTTGTTTTGATTTTGTAGAATGACTTTCCTTAGATGAGCAAGCTATTAAGTACTAAAATCGACAAAAATCATTTGAGCGAATCATAAGTATTCTTTTATATAAAGTCGGAGTAAAATTTCACATAGATATCCAAAAAATGGTAAGAGATCTTGATATCGAAAAAAAAAAATTTATATATTTATAAATATAGAAATCACATTTCGATATATAGAATGAGTTTTATATGAGGATATTCGTAAAGGGGAATAAAAAGTTTTATACGACAATAACATTAAAAAAATGCTTTTAGAAATAATAAATATAAAATTGGTTAGTTCGATATCAGCTCAGCCGGTCTGAATCAGTTACTTGATTCAAATAATTCATTAAAATGATCAGCTTTTAAAATCTTGGAATATTACGTGAGGCTAAATATGTTTTTTCAAGCTCAATGAGATTTTATTCCAGAGTTTATTTCAGTGATGTGTGGAAGTTTTTTAATCTGCTGTTATACTACGCAGAATTTTATGCGGTGTAATAGGACCCGGGGGGTTGCCAGAGTTATATAAAAAATTTCTTTAGCGCTAGTGTTACTTTATTGCATATTTGCATATTGCATACACGGCACTATGTGCTAAGCTTTATTACACAGATTTCTCATAAAAATAAAAAATTTACTGCAAACCTCGCTTAAAACGTTTACTATTTTCTTCAAGAGATGAATCGGATAATCGACTAGAAGAACTTTCGAGAGGTATGACTTTGAAGTCTCGGATTGATTGGCCACGCTCAGCTGATCAAAATCGACCTGAAGTCTGGTCATGATAAAATTTCTGCGCCTCAGAGGCGTAGCCAGCATCACGTGAATTGATTTTTAGCGTAAGTTGATGCTGCCGAGTTCCGCAGTGAAAGATAGATATATATATATACTGTATATAGAATTAACTTCAGGAAATAAAACCAGTAACATATTATACAATAGTAGATTTTACTATAGGACTTGACTTAGTTTTGTGAAACTACAGTATGTTGACAGAACAACGGGTTCGCATATAAACAAGCGCGTGATACGTTGGGGACTAATAAAATCAAAGTCTCATGCAATTTTCGCTATTACAAATTTTTTGTAAATTTGATACCAATCAATATTTAACACATTAATTTCGGAAAATACCGGTTACTTTTATTTATATTTATAATTAAGTAATAAATTCATTATATCATTTTATTTATTTTAAGGCTAGTCAGATTCATTATATCATTTTTATCATCTTTCTTTCTTTTAATTTTGAGCTTGTATTTCACGTGTTTTTTTAATTGTCGAGAACGCCTTGAAATAGGAGGCATTTTCCCATTAAAAAAACCGAATCATAAAAACTCGATAAACTGTGCCTTATTTGTTTTTATGTAATACTAAAAGTCAAAACATACACAATAACTTTAAAAGCAATGTAACACCTCGCTTTTTAAGAAATTTTTTTTTTTTTATTGCTAAAAGGTTATTTCAGAGCGGGAATATCATTGGAGAGAAAAGGAAAGGCGTTATGTGAAAGAGATTATTGTTTGGAATGTTCCTGCAGAAATATACAATGTGAATAATGAGAAGAGTTTCGATTTATGGAAGTTTAAAAATAAATCAATCAATTTTAATAGGAAAATTTATAATAAAAGGCAATTTTTAGTATATATGATGACAAAAAAATTGATCAATTGATTTTATTAGTCCATTGACCACCCCAGTGATACACTATGGTTGTAAAAGTTCTGGAAATTCTATAAATAGTGAAAAAGAATTCGATCGAAGAATTCTCTGCTGTTTTAAATATACAGTATGACTATGTTTATGTTTTACACGTACTGTATTTTGCGGTATATAAGCACCCCTTTTTTGCATTTGATGCCGGCCAAGATCCTCATAATTCTGGCCAAAATTGCCATAATTCTGGTCAGGGGTGCTTATTTACCGCAAAATACGGTATATGCGGCAGCGTGAGCACAACACTGATTTACTGATTAGATCGCGAGATAATCGCAGCAAAAGATTTCATATACTTTATAAATCCATTTTAATGCGTGACAAAATAAAATTATTTTAAAGATTGACTACTATAAATAATAAAATCTAGATTTTTTAAATTATATATAAATATACATCCTTCTTTAAAAGGAGAATTAAGAAACTTCTTACTAAACTTCAAATATTTCTCGTATAATAACGATTTAGAGAAACATCGTATCTTGATTATCTTGATTAACTATATCAAGAAATATTATAATAGTATCATGAATTTATATTATAATAGTTTTGTGACATACTTTGGATTGTTTATTTTAATATGTCTAACCGGATTTATTACGTCAGTTGGAGTCGGACGTATAGAATTGGTGTTTCCGGTCGGTAGCGCTTTTATAACAGCAATACCGATGATTCTAACATACGTATCGTTGCATCTAATTATGCGGATTATTAGTAATCTGCTTAATTGGGTGATGAGTTATTTAATAATATATAACGAAAGAGAAATTGAACCACGCGCTTTAATGGCAGTAGCCAATAATCAAGATACCGGAATGTTACAGTCTGTTAAACTATTATTAACAGAGAGAAAAGTTCCACTAGTACTAAGAATTATTATTTTTATAATTGCTTTAGTTGGAACACTCGAAATAGTTATTGGATTTGCAATAAGCACAACTACAATACCAGGATCTTTATCAATTAAGGGTGGAGCGTTTAACGCTGATCCTTTAAAACCATGTGTGGAAGAGGACGGGGGATGTCCGGCATTATTGCAATCTAAATTTAGGTTTCAGTGGTTACAAGGTGCTTCAGATTTGATGGTAAATGGAATTTCTAAGCAGTTATCTATGCACTGGGGAGATTTAGTTGATGATGAAAGAATAGTGATGGTAGCAACAACCGATAACAATTCAAATATAAATTATAAGTTGGTACAAGCTAAGAATGAGACTATTCCAGCTTTTAGTTTGAGTACTATGTGTTACAATACTCCTGAAACTTATCCAATTCTAGGATCAAATTCTTTTCGTGATCTAAATATAACACAACCAACCCCATTATTTGATTTAATACAAACCATACAAGCAAATTCTGGATTAGAGGGTCGGTGGATGGGAGAAATTGTTAAACTTGAGCAAGATAATCTTAATGAAACTACTCGAATAACCCTAAATTTCGTACAAATATTACCCGTCAACTCATCATGTGTCGGAAAGTTTGATATAGCTGGAAACTTACAGATATGTCGTCCTACAAAAGGTTTACAAATTAGCTGCTTAATGAATGCACATGTTGATTATGTTGAATATATAACAGCAGGATGTGATACCTGTGGTACTAGAGGAATTAGTAACAATAGAGTAGATTACTCTAGCCCAAAGCCAGTATATGGTGAATTTATGCATAAATCATTAGCATCATATGATGGTCATATCCTGATGCCTCAATGCAAAGACACAGTTAATTTTGGAGGATGTTTGGCTCCTGACACAAATAATGTGGATCTGGTAAGAGCTAAATTTATCGAATTATTACGTGGCATTACTGCCTCTGGAGTCATTGCTAGACGAATCTTATTGTCAGATAAAGGCATAGAAATACCAGTCCAGCTTTTAATTAAAGGAGAAACTGGAGTGAGATTAGAAATCGGGGGAGGATATTGGATTACTATACTTATAATGAATATTTTATGCTTTTTAGGAGTTGTTGGTTGGTTATTCATAAAATACAGAGAAATGGGAGGACGTACAATACCTCAAATATCTATTGAATGGTTAATGTTCGAAGCTGAAGATGCAGATGATTGTATTAGAGAAGATAATGGTAAATGTAGAATTGAATATGCCAATGACACGTTTTCAATAATTCCAGTATAGTACTTATGTATATTTTTGTATATAAGCTATGTTTTGTATTCAAATTATATACTGCTTATGTATATTTTTGTATATTAACTATATTTTGTATATATTAAATAAAATGAACTATACTTGTTAAATGTAATTGGTCCTGCGGTATAAGACATAAACGCTTCGTCGCTTCGCTAATATTGTAACATAAATAAAGTAAATGACTTAAAATTAATTGTTGATTATATATAATAATAAGAGCTCACCGACGGTGAACCGTACCAGCATTATAATATACTTTCGACCAGAATTAAAAATCTAATAAAATACTGGCCGGCATTACATTATAATTTCACCACCGGTGATGTTTAGCAATACCCTAATAATAATTTCCGAGAAAACAAATTTAATAATCAACAAGATATCATACAAGATAATGAAGATGACACATAAGATATTAGATATATATTGTTAATTGAAAATAACTACGTTTAACCGGAGGGGAAATTCTCTCCCTAATACTTATTAGAGTTAGAGGTTAAGATTAGGGGTCAGGTTTATTTATCACAACGTATCACACTCCCACGGTCTTCATTTTTGTTAATTAATCTGGGGACAGAGAAATTTTTTGTTAATAAAACCTATTTGTCACCCATTATTCGTCACGGAAGGAATTTCCCCTCCGGTTAAAATTAGAAATTTTCTTTTTAATTTATTAAAATGGTCAAAAAAATAAATAAAAGTATAATATTACTCCATTATTATTAAAAAGAACTTAATACAGTATCTTTTATTTTCTGCTGAATGTTATTCTCTTTCTCAATTAATTCTTTCACTTGAATATTATCCTTTGTGCTTTCTACGTGACTTCATAAAGTGCACGTACTAATGCGTTTACTGTATCGTAAAAGAATAAAATTAGAAAATGAACAATGCATTAATTGATATGTTTTTTGATAATTTGAATATGGATAACAATCACAATATCTATTGTTAAAGTCACAAACACCAACTGGTATTAAAAAAAAATTTTAGGGGAAAAAAATGATAAGTCAAATAAATATGAAGTGAGAATATCTTTCTTTAAAACAAAAGAAAAAAAAAGTTTTAGTTTTAAGACTGTCAATTTTTCAGTATACTTTTTTCTGGTAACAAATAATAGATAGGCCAATAAGTCTTAACACAGAATCTTACAATCCAATCTGCTTATAATTGCTTTCGTGGAAACCTTAGAACCAAAGAGAATTAAAAGTATGCTTAATTGAGAAAAGCTCGCCAAAGATACATTGAATGCTCATTTGATAGGATAAATGCTTATTAGTTAATTTCATGTGATTTTTCTTTCAGCCCAACCAATGAATTTATAAATGCCGATGGCACATGACTTGGAAATTAAAGTATCCTTGTTCATATGTTGAAGCAGTGATGGAAAGCGGAAAGGCTATTTCTGAATTTTTGGGCAGCATTTATTATAAAAGTTGCTGGTGTTAAGGGAATTAAATGGTTAGTTTTTAAGTTCTTTTTTTTCTAGATGATGTTTTATCCATTCTTGAATTTAATTATCATAACTTTTCTGGCGAGTTTTTTGAATTGAAATCATTATTAACTTGATCATTATGAGAAGCGATTTGTTTATAAATTATAAAATTATTATATATTTTTTTTTTTAAGAAAAAAAGCTTTTGTTAAGGCTTCATTTAATAGTTCATTATTTTATTAAACATAGAATATCATTTACGTACTTTAAAAATAAAATAAAAATACCAATCATGATTATTATGAAATAGTTTGAATTAAAGGTCAATGTAAATTTAAAACTGTAAGGAGTTTTTTGCTTGAAGGCTACATGCTTACATCAGTACCAAAAAAATTCAACATATGGTTTTTTAAAACTTTTTTGGTTACAGGAATCACAATACAATAACAATTATTTTTTTAGGTCTAGTAAAACGAGAATTACTACTTCGCCGCAACTTTTTTTATTATGGTTGTATGATAACCTAAAGTAATGTAATTCTTTATGCTCAATTTCTAGCAGTACCTTACCAATTTTTTTTTAAAAAAATATTCCATCAATATGAAATTTATAATGATTATAATAATTGGAGAAACTTACTTATTAATAAATTTAATCTACGTAACAACAATACTTTCAAAAAATTTCAATTCCTGATTGAATCAAGTTTTATATCATTTAGAAATGAAACACAAGGAGTTATGAATAATAATATATATAATGAGAATTATTGAATTTTAAACTTTAATTCCGGCTGAAATTGGTTATAGCTTTATCAAGTCAAATTTATTCGCTATATCAAGTATTATTATCGTTATTTATAAAAATCTCCCGCTTTAACAAGCAAGACAAACAAACAACGATAAAAATACATAATATACTTATCATCGTAATTAGTTCAAGCTTCCAATAAAATTATCATTTTACGTCAAATTGATCATTATCGTTATCTAATTGACAATTACTTAAAAAAATACATTCTATCAATATGAAATTTAAATTTATTTTATCATTCGAAAAATTTAATTTCGACCACTTACTTTTTAATAAATTCTACATAATATTTTTTTTTCCATTCTTCAGCAACTTCTATTTGGGTATAAAATAATTCTTTCCATTCATTTACTATTTCCATATTTTTTTGGTAATTATTAGTAACATTTTTAAATTTCATATTTAGTTCTTTTATCGTTCTTTTATTTCTTGCAATTTCCAATACTAATCCAATATTTTTATGCTGAGCAATATCAAACATTCCTGACCAAAATTTCTTTTTGAAACTTAAGGTTCTTCTTTTTTCTTTTGATTTTGTGTAACTTTTCTCGCGTTTATTGTATCGGGTCATCTGAAAGATAGAGAATAACGAATATTGTGCGCGCAAGGTAATTGTAAGGAAAAAAAATAGGAAAAAAAAATGGGATAGTACAAAAAGAACGAATTACTATTACTCCTGAATACGAAAACAAAATAAAATAAAATAAACAAGAGAAATAATAGCAAGTGGTGGGCATGAGTGTGCCGTTAAGCCCAATCTCACCTTATTGATCAGTCCTTTATGAATTTAGATTGAGAGTAATTTTCGTATATTGGTTGTATTTATACAAAATCAATATTTCAATTGATTTACGAAAAAAAAGAAAGAGAGAAACTCAGATTCCCACTAAAGTAAGTTTACACGTTTTTTCGGGCAACTTGATAAGAACAACAGCATTTATGCATAGTTTCTTAGTTTTATTTGGAAAAAACAATTTTTGGAAGTCACGTGATACTATACCAATCAAAACAAAGTTTTAGAACGAGTATAATCGCATGAGTTCCCAAAGTTCCCAAAGTTTCCATAGTTTCTATAATTTCCAATTTCCCGATCTCATATTATGATTCTTTTGCGCGTAAAAACCATACTACGCATATTCTTTGATTAGTTCATAAAGTTTGTTTTTAAAAATTAGGTAATTCTTATAAATTAAATAAAAACAACGAGATCAAAATAAACTTTTGAAACTATAACTTTATTAAATTCAAAATTATTACAATAAGGAATAGAGAAATAAAAAGAAAAGAAAAAATATTGGAAAAATCTATAATGTTACACAACCACCAAAGTTTCCAAAGTTTCCAAATTCAGTTTTGAAGAGTATCGTTATTAAAATATCAGAGAGTTATAAAAGAAATAACATTTGAAATTTTCGAAAGGACAATTAGCTGTTCAATACTATTTACTAGTACAGCCGATTTTGAGTTTTGATTCATTTTAAAAATTGGTCGATTTTGTGAGATAAATATTATATTTCAAACTGACAAACGAAATTATTAAAATCCACTACTCCAATCAAATTTTCTATCATATAATTGGCTTTTTAAACGTGATCATCTTCAAATACGTTTTCGCCACCAACCACGATACTACTTAGGCATCTATCTTCTGATATTGGTTGAATAAAATATGTACTATTTTCTTTTTCGAAATTGTTATTGTTCCATAAAGATAAAATCTCATTTTTGACTACATAAAAACGGTGATAAAAAATATCACGAGTTTCATCCATTTTTTTGTAGTGTATTACTTCTGAACCGTCCCATAATGTAAAATATAAATTTTTAACGTCAATGAACCGATTGTTAAAAATAATTGAAAAAGTTCTTCCGGGTCATAATTGATATTATTATGAAGGTATTGACGTAAAAGATCATGATAATGTTCTGATCTATTAAAAAAAAAGTGTAATATATGTTATAATAATAATCGTATCGTGTCCAACTTGTTACGCTTGAACCATCCCATGCATAAGGTCATTTCCTCAGGGAAGATATGTAGTTTATTTAATAAAGCTTTAGTTGAGTTTTTGATTGAAGCATTCATTTTAATAAAGATTAGCATTTATTTTATCAAATTTTTAGCCGTCATATTTATAATTTATGATTTATCGATGTACTATTTAAATTTCCTTCAATCGATTCCTGTTAAAGAACAAGTTCTTTGTTAATAGAAAATTTATTATTTATTAGCATTACTAAACAAAGTATTTTAACTTTCCTTATAAATAATGCAGGTATAAAAAGTCCATAGTTCATTCTCATCACTCTAATAAATTATAAAATTAAAGAAATATGTCTCAAGAAATTGAACATTTTTACTCTCGAAATCGAAATTATCCTAACGCTCAAGTTCCTTTGACTAGCATTGAGCAAGATTTTTATACTGAGCAATCTCGGCAAAATGATAAGCAAAATTTCAATAAACATAAAGAGAATACTCGGTTAGAAAGAATGCGTACTTATTATTATCAAACTACAATTCATGCTTTAGAAAAACTCATTGATTTACAATTTCAAATAATTAATAGACAAGACAGATTTATCAATTCTTTATGTTTTGTCTTTGGATTAAATTTTGTTATAATTTTATTCTTTATAGTTTTATTTGTTCTAAAATTTCAATGTAATTTCAAAAATTAATTATTACATGGCGGGTGCAGCTCTTGATAAGCTTACAGAAATTAGAAAAGTTTCATTTTTTGATATATTTAATTTTTTTATGCAAAAAAGAACTTCGTATTAGTTAATACTAGTTGATTAAGAAATATTTAAAAGTTTTTCCGGGTCATAATTGATATTTTATGAAGTTATTGACGTAAATGTAATGATAATGTTTTGATCTATTAAAAGAAAACATTAAAATATGTTTGTATAATAATCATATCGTGTCTAACATGTTACGCTTGAACCATCCTATAAGGTTATTTGGTATTTCACAAGGTTATTTCCCCTGGGAAGATTTGTTTTTTATTTAATAAAGCTTTAGTTGGTTTTCTAGTATGATAATAATCTTTAATTCTAGTTAAAGAATAATTTTTATAAAGCGCTTTATTTTACTGTCTAAAATTAGTAAAATTAACTTTTTCAAGATAATCAACTCTTTCTTCAAGAATATCAAGTTTTTTTTCAATCTCAATATTGATAATACACGTTAATTTTTCATACTCAGCCTTAAGATAATTAATGCAATTCTCATGACTCTCATATATATTCGTCTGAACAATCATCGAGATTATTAAGAATTTTCTGAATATAAATAATATTTTCCATATTGTTAAGAAGAGTGCTGTAATCGACTTTGTTATCTTTCTTTTCAAGAATTTCAAGTTTTTTTCATTTTCCTTTAATAACGTAGATAGGTTGAAATTATTTCGCGTTTCTTCATTAGCTTTATTAGTCATTTCTTCTAGCCTCTTCCTTAGAAAAAAGATACAATTATCTTTTTCTTGTGATTCCTTATTAACTTTAAAAGTCATTTCCTCCAGATTTTTCTTAAGAGATGAGATTTGGTTTTCTTTTGCTGTCAATGATGCATATAGTATCATATTTTTTTCTGATTTTATATGAGAACTGAACTGAAATAGTTAATATTGATTCAAAATTTAATATTACTCTATTTATTACTACTTACGTGTATTTTTCGTTATAAAGCATATTTAAGTATTGTTGGCTACAGTAAAAAATTATTTTATTATTATGAAAATAATATTAAATAGAGAAAGAAATTACAAACTTTATAAATTGAGCCGAAGTTAATTCCCTTTTTAGAATTTCGTTATCAGCACGCGTTAAATGGAAGATTAATAATTAATTAATTTATTAAATTAATCTTTATTCGTTATTTGAAAAATATTTACATAATTCGTTGAATATTCTCCATCGTTAAATTTCGCAGGGCTAAAACGATCTGATCATAGAGTATTTTAATATACTGAATTTCAATCTAATTAGAAAGCTCAAACAAAGAAAACTATTTTGCATTAATATAGTAACAAATATCTAGTAGAATTTCCATTTTAAATGAATTCTCGATCTTTATGAATTGAAATTATTTGATCAGAGGTCTCATACATTCAACGAGATCAAAAATAGCTTTTCGAGTATACTTAATTATAACTTTATTAACGTTAAATTTAAAAATTATTACAATAAAAAGATTGGTTAAAATTGTATTAAACGGAATAAAAAAATAAAAAGAAAAATCGATATTTATAATATTATACTTGTAATTAACTATATACTTAGTTTAAAATATTTTAAAATTCAAGAAAAGTACAGAATTTTCCGTTTGCGTTCGAACCAAACGAGTAAGAATTTATATTATTTTTATTTGAAGTCCCAAATTTAAAAGACAACTATGAATGTACAAAGGAATTATTATCTACTTTGCTTAAAATTTCGTTGTATATTTTGGATCGAACCGTTACGATTATAAGAGATTCTATCAAAATAATCATAACGGTCGTCGCTGTCACCGTTCCAGACTGAAATTGACCTTATTTCGGAAACAGGAGCGATAGTAAGGTCGGTGTTGATACCGTAATCGTTATAATGAATAAGGTCGTTATTCGATAATTCAGTCTGTACATACTTCGTTTCCTTCGTTTCCTCCAAATTGTCTCTAAAAAAAAAATTGTAAGTTTCAGAGTATGAAGCTAGTGAACTCAAATCGCATAACGAGAGCCCTCGACCATATCCTACTCCTTACTTATTTTTCTGTGAATATTTTAACTTCCTTTTATATTTTTTTAAGTAAAACGAATTTTTTTTACTTTTACGCGACTTTCTTCGATTGTTTTGTATTGAAGATACCAATTCTCCTTGAGAATTATTAATAATATTTCGAATTTTTAGACTTTCGCGTCGAGTAATCCTGTCGCAAGGCATATTTTAATAGGAATAATATTGTATCATATTCAATGAAAGAAATTAATAAATGAGAATGAGCTTATTATATAATAAATTAATTGATCGAAAATCCGTACGATCATTACTTTTAATGGCAAATAATTCGTTTTTTACTCTTCTTGAATCTCAAGAATACATGTGAAACTAAAATCTTAATAACATGTCTCATATTTTTTTATTTGTAAAGAAAAGCAGATTGAGTAAAAATTCACAGGAAAACTTTCCAGGTCCCATGAAATATTGTTTTTAGATTTTGTGGATTATGATGTTATGTTGATATTAGATAAACTTGACCAAGTGGAAAAAGTATATATTATTTTTTATTTTTGATGATATTAATGCTGTAAATTTGTTTGACGTCGTGTTCAATCACGTGACTTCTAAAAATCGTTTTTAAATTTGTATAAATACAATAAATACAACAAATATACGAAACGTCGAAAAGTACTCTTTAAAGGATCTCAATAAGATCAATAAGGTGAGATTGGGCACTTCAGCGCTGGCTACAAGCGTCCTTTAAAACCGACTCGGGCATTCATTATGATTGGCTAAGGATCATGTGATTATACATGACAGCAGTCATTAATTTTTGGTGGAGTAATTTTTTTCTTTAGGATTCCATATCAACTTGTCATAAAAATTTTTTGTAACCTTTGCCATAACCCAACTTTCAATAGTACAGTTTTTAAAATTTATAATATCTAGATTAGAAATACTCCAAAATTTGTCAATAGATATCCTATTATTAATTAATTCGATTTTCTTGAGATTATAATTGTTATATAAACTAAAAACGGTATTGTTATATTATTCCATTTCCAATTTTTAAATATTAAGACATTTAATTTTGTATAATTGTTAATTAAAGCTTTTATATAAATAACGAATGTTTCCAATTGAAAATTATGGTCTAGAAATTCAACTTCAATAACGATAATGATAAAATAAAAATAATAAGTAAAATTAGAACGAGTATAATTGCAAGTTTCCAAAGTTTCCAAAGTTTCCATAGTTTCCATAGTTTCCATAAGTATTCGAAGTTTCCTTAAGTATTCGAAGTTTCCAAAGTTTCCAAAAAACAAGTTTCATTTGATTACGTAATTAATAAATAATTCGGGTAATTATGGTTACAGAATGTCTCAAGAAATTGAAACAAAAATAAATAAAGAATCTATATATGGAACTGATCGGAGGTACAGAAGTGATAAGCTACTTGGATATTAAAGTGATGATATTTTGAAAGAAGGTATTTTAAATAAATATAGTTAAATGAATTTTGTTCTTCAAAAATTTTTTAATTATATGCATCGCGCGCATTAAATATTTTTATAAAAATGTAGATACCATTCTTGGCGAAATGTTGAATTCGCTTCAGCAAAGAGTTCTTCGGCAAAATGTCCATTCACGACAGCGAAATGGCTATTCGATGAAATGATACTTCAGCGAAATTTCACTTCGGTGAAATGGGCTTCGGCGAAAGTGTCCGGTTACCAATACAATTCATACAAAAAACTTTTTAAATTAATATTATGTTCAAATTTATCAATTTTTAAGAATAAAATACTTTTATTGAATATTTTTATTAGATAGAAAGATTAATAATAATTCTATTTTTGGTTGATAATAGGCCAATATGTTATATTATTTTATATTAGATACAGTATAGAATAACAAATTGTTGTTTTATATATTTCTTATATATTTGGCATTTTTTTCAACGTATTGTTTATGTTATATTATAAGAGCATAGCCACAATCACATAATAGAGAGTTAACAGTCAAATGTTCAAATAGTTTTCGTAATAAAAATAGACTGAAAATCATTCCATGTGACAATTATGCACAACCCTAACCCACCTGATCATCACATGTACATATTCGGATTCATGTGGATAAATTTCTGCAAATCTATTAATAGAGAACTAATAGAAAGTGACTATTCCGAAACATTTAGCCTTTCGGCAAATATTGATTGCCGAAATCAAAACTGTTAAATATTGATTCATGAGAAAAGCCGAAAAATGAGAGTTTCATTTTTTAAATTCAAGAAATGTCTCAACATTCCGGATCCAGAAAGACTTACGGGGAGTGTTCAGATTGTAAAAGGCAGCGAATTGCGGTTGCATGGTGTAAGAATTGCGATGTTATAAATTTGAAAGAAAATTTTCATAATTGGACTAGTGAAAATACTAAAATTGATGAATTTATAAAATATACTCAGTTAAATGCTAAAAGTTGTATGGACTGTCTTGAATGGATTGAATTTGACCATTTTGACTTGATAGAGAATATAAATAAACGAGGAGCCTTCAGCTCAATTTATTCCGCAGTATGGATGGAAGGTCCAAGGTGGAATTTAGATGAAGAGGCAGAAATATGGACTCGAAGTGGCCCCATCAAGGTTATTTTAAAACGATTAAATAATTCTCAGAATATGAGTCAAGAATTTGTGAATCAGGCAAGTATTTAATTTATTCAATAACATATCAGGTACATGTTCTGATCAGGTTTCGCAAACCAATAAACATGTGATCAAAATGCTCAACAATCAATCCTGAAAAATTTTTAATGTTGGACCAACATCAAAAAATTTTTATACGCGCCTTGAAAAAGTTTGTTTAATTATATGCGCACTATATGTAAGAATAAAATAATAATAAGCGCAATTACAATTTAATGTGCGTTGCGTCTAGAGTTGGATGCAAATGCCGAAACTCTTTGCCGAAATCCCAAACTAAATTCTAGATTTCAGCAATGGTTTGAAATTTTGACAATAGTTAGTAATCAAATTGAAATCCCAAATCCCAAAGTTGCCAAAATCCCAAACTGCTGCTGAAAATCAAAAACTTATGCCAAATTTCAAATTATTACCGAAATTCAACTTTAAAATTTGATTTGGGATTTCGGCAAAGAGTTTCGGCGCCCAACTCTAAGTTGCGTCTATTTACCGTATTTTGCGGGCCACAGTACCCCCTATGCACAGTACCCGTTTCAGACCCGAATTCTTGACGGGTAAATGGGTTGACCCATTAAGGTACTAATACAAACCCGGGTTGGCACCTGCTAAGGAAAGTTTGACCCGGTTTCTTATTGGGTTAACCCAGGTTGGTTAACAGCAGGTCGATAAACGGTTTGATAAAGGGTTTTAACGGTTGGATAGCGGGTGTTAACGGGTTAATGATGGTTTAATCAGATCAAACGCATCAAAAGTTCTCCAACCCGTTTAGCTAACCGTTTAAACCGATAACCCGATAATCCGTTAAAAACTGATATCCGATATCATTTATCGGGTTTAAATCGGTTGTATCCGATAATTTAAACGGATATCCGTTATAGCCTGTTAATAACGGGTTACGGGTCTGAACACTACGGCCACATGAAATTTTTTTTGGTTTTTTAAAGTACCCGGATATTATTTTGCATGGATATTCGATTTTTAACCTTTAAAATTTGTAATATACTCGTGGTATAATACTAGGAACTGTATTGTAAAATAAATTACGCAATATAAATTCCTGTACCCATACCCCAGGTACTATGCCCCCCCTTATACGGTATATCACTGATTTATGGCCATATTATGAAAGAAAAAATAGAATTATAAACAAATTTGATCGTAAAACTAACGAGATAATAATCACGAATTATTAAATTAAATTTTGGGTGGTGATAGAATCGGACCAACAATATTTTGACTCACATGAAATGACTATATATATTATTTATTATTAACCATCTTATCTTTTTTTAAAAAAAATAAAATTAATAGTTGTACAGATATTATAAATGCTTGCAAAGTGGAGCACTTGCAGAATGTTTTGGTGTAACCAAAGATCCAACGGCATGTTACATGTTCGTTATGAGGTATTACAAAAACGGGAATTTATACATGTATCTTGAAGAAACTATGGGAATTCTTTGTTGGAGAGATATTGTAGATATGTTATGGTCAATATCCGCAGGTCTAAATTTTATTCATGGACATGGTCTTGTTCATGGAAATTTACACGGAGGAAATATACTAGTCGAGTGTGACGTGAACTCGATTGATACTAAAATCACAGATACCGGATTGCACTTGCCTGCTGATAAATTGATGTCATTTCAACAAATTTATGGCGTAATACCTTTCGTTGCTCCGGAGATTTTTAACAAAAATTTGCTAACTAAAGCCTCCGATATTTATAGCTTTGGCATGATCATGTGGATGTTGTCAGCTGGTGTACGTCCTTATTATGATAGACCTCATGATAAACAACTTATTAAAGAAATCTGTTCGGGTTTAAGACCAAGTATTGTCAATGGGACTCCAGCTGTTTATTCTAGATTAATGTTTCAGTGCTTAGATGTTAATCCATTAAACAGGCCAGCAGCATCTCAACTTCATGAATGCTTTGGAAATTGGATCTCAGAAATTTGTGATAGTCCTGATCCATCCGATTTATCTAATCAATTTGATGCTGCCGAAGAAATCAAATTTTCAAATTTAAAAAATTTTGATTTTAACATAGCACAATGTCATGAAATGGCTATTTATTGTAGTCGCCCATTATTAGATCATGCTTAAAATCGCATTTTTTACTTTTTTATTTTCGATTCTAATTAATTTATAAATCCTTTTTTATCATTATTTATTCGCTTTATCGTAAACACAAACATCACAAACTCAAACTTAATATTAGAAATATTTCTTAGACTTTTTAAAATTTCATTCACAAATTAATTAAGCTTTCATTTCGTTTAAATTAACATGATTATATCGCAAACACAAATTATTATTTTCTTATTTTCTTTTTTCTTTTTTTTCGGTTTTTTTTTCGAGATTTTATAAAAAAACATCGTTCTAATAAGTTAAGAAGCTATGATGGTAAGTTTTTAAAATTTTTATCTAACATAGAATGATTATGAAATCTTGAAAATCATCTCAATTAACAATAAGATTGTCCTAATTTAATCGCTGTTTATCCCTATTTAATTTTAAATTTCAATAAACTTATATATTTAGTTTATTTATTAACTTAAACCCCCTTAATACCTTTCAAACTTATCGGAAAATATGGACAAGTTAAAATGTCCTACTAATTATATCAACTATGTTAAATCGACTGAAAGGAATAGCTACTAGACGTTGGAATCTTCAAGTAAAAATTATTATTCTTACTGAAATAAATTCTAAAATAAGATAGATTTTTATAAATGTAATTATTTTAAATTCTTTTTATTCGTATTAGTTATAACATTACGAAACTGTACTGGACAGAAAAGCCAATCTCATCTATTACTATCAATTTCTAACGCAACATTACAATTAAATTTATTTAGATTTTGATAATTCTTTCATACTAATGAAATTACTAGTGCTGGCAGCACTTTCTCATCGATATTTTTGTTCATGTCTAATATCAAAATCAATTCATTCAGGATAATTCTTATTTCGTTAGCATTAATTGAGCATGTCTTATGAATTCATCAATTTTAGTATTTTCACTAGTCCAACTACGAAAATTTTCTTTCAAACATACAGTCCGAACATCTATTTATATAATTAATTTCTGAAGTGTTCCAATAAATGATTAATTTGTAATTCCGGTAAATTTCACAAAATTTTATTTTTCGATCTTATTATGTAAAAGCTTGGAACGGATCGACTTAAACAAACACTTAAGTACTGTAACACCTAAGCCCGTGATAAATCACGTTGCCACCTTAGATATTAACAAAATAACTCTTTATTAAAAATATAAATTAATACAATAATATGCTTGGTTTAATAACGTTAAATAATAAATCAAATAATTATATCAAAATTCATAGCTTCTAAATTTATTACTCTAAAAGTGTAACTCGTTTTTGGAGAAGTCACATTATTGTCCCTATTTATATTTGTTTATGTTTCACCAAATTGTTAATTTAATTTTATGGATTTTAACCTCGAAAGTTTCCATGAAGATTATCTTCGCAAATCTGACCTTTTCATTAGATTATCTTTATAAATTTTAAGATCCATGAATTCTTAATCCTTAATTATTTTCATCCATAATGATCATTCTCTACTACCTTAATTATGATTTGTAATGATTTTTAATTTCAACGTAATGATCTACAAATTAATCATCTGATATTCTGATTCACCTGACCTAAAGATCTCCAATTGTCCTTAAATCACCTGATTCATAGTTTAACGTCACTTCGGACATTAAATTATCCTCAAAATTAATAACCAATAGTTTAACGTCATTTCGGACCAATTAAAAATAAAACTAAAAATAAATTAAAATTTTATATACTAAGATTAAATATAATACTGCGCCCCACAATTAATAAATTTACTAGGTATACTACGGCATTACAGTACTAAAACCACATCAAAAATTTTTTCGATAGACAAATTCCAATATAACGATATTGCGAAAAATATCGGTTTAATACATCAAAACCTTGTCGGACCTTTTCCTGAATGGCATTTTCCAAATATACTGAAGTCACCCAAACACTTAAGTAAAACAAATCACGATAGGATTCACGAGAATATAGTGCTGGCCAGAATTACAAATAGATTGGCTAGCGTGATGTCACGTGACATAGATCCACAATTTAAAATATTGAAAAATATCGTCATGTCGAAATTTACATTTCTCTCCTATAGTGGAAAGTAAAATTTTACCGTTATATAAAGTTTTTAACATACAGTATATCAGTATATGTAAATCTAAATCATTTTTACATATTGGTCCATAAAAATTATCACGATAAATTCAAAATAGAATTGACTGATTTGACTCCAATCCTTATATGCGAGTTTAACTTCAACTCGTGTTCACACTTTATTAATTTCCGGTTGTACATAAATCGTGCAGTTGACCAGTTTATATAAAATTCTGCACATAATTGGAGACTACGAATTAATCTACATGTTTACTTACTTGATCTATAAATTCTTGACTTATATTATGAGAATTATCCAAACTTTTTAGAATAACCTTAATTGGACCAGTACGAGCCCATACTTCGACTTCTTCATCCAAATTCCACCTTGGACCTTCGATCATTCGAGGTAGTCCATACTTTCCTTAGCGTTTAATTGAGTAAATCTGATAAATTCATCTATTTTAGAATTTCCACTAGTCCCAATTTGGAAAGCATGTTTTCAGGTTCACGATATCACATTTTTCACACCATATCGTCGCCGTTCGTTGTCGCTTACATAAGCATGTACCATAAGTTTCTCTTGATCCAAAGCGTTTCAATAAAACAGAAGTTTCTAATGAAAGAGTCATTTCTTAACTCGATCGTAATCCGCTCTATGTATTGATTGTAAGAGTGATGTGAGTGCTATTTAATTGATGTTTTAACGCTTTTTTTCTGAAACTGAAGTGCCTTGCACTTTTATTTTTTAAAAAAGATCGAGTTTAAATAAATTATTTCTCGGTATCTAAATTCTAAACAATAATCAACAAATTGTTGTATTGTAGCTTTTTTTTTTTTATTATCCTGATGCAATTGCTTAACTTTAGAAGACAAATAAACTAATTGGGAACTATAATAATATAAATGGCTAATATTGAACGAATTGAATTACATTTTTAGCAAGAACATTCTTATCTAGAGTAAATAATTTGACTTATTACTAATAACCAGCTTATTACGATATAGTATATTATCAAGTAAGTATATATATACTTAATTGCTTTGCCCAATATTGCACTTGATTAAAATCTTTTTCCTTTTTATGTTATGTAGAACAAATAAATAAAGAGAATCCAGCATTCCAGCTAATACACAAATAAACATAAACAAAATATTTAAGACGGATATCCGAATTTTAAGTTAACCCAATAAACGGATAAGAAATCATTAGTATTAAACACTTGGTTTTAATAATACTTATATAATATAATAAGTCATGTACGATATACTAACGTATAATTTTTGGTGATAGTATAATTGTTATACGTTAAAATATTTCTGTTGTTAATTTTAATAAAATTAAATGATCGGTAGGTAATCTGACCCAAGGTAGCTTATTTATCCATTGACCGATATAGTCCCACATCCAATAAGTGTGTTATCGTTCCGACGTTTTGATCATGCATTAATTAATAACATGATCATAAATAAGTTTTATTTAAACTTTCTATAAATTTCATTTTTATGCTATTTTTAATCCACTTCATAAGCTTTATTTAAACTTTTCCCACAAAATATTCATTTACACCATATCTTTTTACTCCGCTTTATTATTATATCAATCATGTCTTATTGCTATGCCTAATAAAAATATCGGTCTATGTGGGCTGAACGATAACTATTTATTATCCTCATAAGTTCATGCAGATTTTACATAATTGTTATTCAGGTCCGTTATCTCATATTACTATGTATTACCATAATGATAAACTCCCGTTGCTATCCAATAATTTTATTATAAAAATTGCCCTGTCAAACCGATAATATATAAATATTATTATATTAATACATTTTATATTTATCCATGTTTGATATTGAAAAAATGAGTGATATATTACTAACTCTGTAAAAAATTTTATCCGTAATATCTGTAAAAACTCCGACATTTACGGAATTAGCACGGAATAAAGAAAAAAAATACGGAATAAATGTTTTTTTTATAGGGTATATATTAAAAGGTTTGAATTTTTAATAATATTTATGCTATACTGCACATGATAGGTAACTTATATCTAAATCAAATGAGTAAATGACTAAGTAATCAGACGTAAAATTAATTTAAAAAAAAATGATTAAGGAAATTTCCAAATATATTGCTTATTAAAATGAAGACCTTAAAGGTTATTCATTTGCATGTTGTTGTGTTACCAATGGATCAATAATCATAGGGTACCTGACGTAAACAATTAGTTTCAAATTTCTAATTGGTCTTCAGAATTAATTCTGTAGATTATTAATTTTTCAAAGGTACAAATAGAAAACAAATACCCACGCAAAAAGATATACTGTATATAGAACATACAGTATATTGAATCAAAACAATATTGCTTAAATACAATATATAGAAACTATGATATCAAACATTCTGTTTACTATTTTTATTAAATGAATTATTAATGTGGGGAGATAAACATTTTATGAGTAAAAATCTACCGGATTTGACTTTAGCCTAATAGTTATAAACAGTACATTACTTTCTTTTTATATTTTTTAAAAAATTGAATCGGCTTTTAAAATACACAATTATAAAAAATAAAAAAAAATTCAAATATAATCTTAAAAGAATCTTGAGAATAATACGTAATAGAGCAATCAATACACAATAGTACTTTGGGTATTTTACTAATTTACCTCTACAAAATACTCGTCAGTGCCTTACTAATCATTTGTCATAAGATGTTATAAAATTGGTTTAATGCACGCTTGGCTGCATGGTGCACATTGACATCAAAACAAAATTATCGACAATGTGTAATTTTTTCAATATAGAATCGAACGACGAATAAAAATTAAACATACCAGCATAAATAAAATAAAAAAAGAATTGAATCCTGTGATCTTTAATCATGATTTTTTTAAAACATATAGTTTATATTAACGCAAATAAAAAAATAATTACTAGACAATAACAAAACAAAATTTTTTTATTATTTTATATAATAAAATTTACTCTAATATGTCAATTTTTTTAAAGAAATATGTAATAAGTTTTTTCAAACCTCGATATACCGATATATACTAGAAAACGGGAACCGTTGAAGTGCCGTTTCTGATTCGTGAAGTCCATTTATTTAGAAATGTATCAATAGCGTAACTTTTGTAAAATATGCAGGACAAACAGATATCGCATATGACTGCATGAGTTGATATTTTATTTAACAATGCATCAATAACGTAACTTTTGCATCACCTTTCAATAAAAAGATTTATTACATATTATTTCCGTAAATGTATCATATTCACGGAGTTTTGCTTTACAGCGGTAATAATATATAATTCTTCGTTACACTTACTAGGACTAATTAAAAACTCGACATAACGATAAAATTTTGTTTTCACTACTATATGAGAGAACATATCGGTATAATTCGTATTTTTTCAATGATTTTCATATTCCCAACATATCGTTACATCATAATTTGACTGTACTTACTTTATCACTTACAAATAGGTTAATTGTAGAGTAATTTTTATTACGGAAACTTCATTGTGATTGCTATTTCTTCCATGTGGTTTTATTATGATTTATTGTATTTTTTTTTTTTATAAAAAAGGCGTGATTTATACTACAACCCTATAAAAAATTTTATCCGTTATTCCTGTAAAAACTCCGTAAAAATGAGCCTTTCACGGATCCATTCACGCAAAATGTAAATAATTCGACAAATTCCGGGGGTATAAGGCTATTAATTCCGGAAATATGAGCCTTTTACGGAAAAAAGACGGAATATAAAAAACGGATCGACTTTTTTTACAAGGCAAAGGATATATAGTATAATACCGAGTTTTTATTATTAAAACATATAAATGAGCAGATGCCAAGAAATTTAAAAAAGGATCGACACGGAACATTGTAATACCGGGACAAGCCATTTCGATCGGGTATTAACCGATATCTCCGTATCTAAAAATATTAGATATAAATAAAAAAAACTTATAAATTGGGCGAGTTTTTCATTTTAAGAATTGCGGCCCCTGTAAAAAAGTCAATCCGCTTTTATATTCCATCTTATTTACATTTTCCGTGAATAGATCCGTGAAAAGCTAAGTTTTACGGAGTTTTTACAGAAATAACGGATAAAATTTTTAAAGGGAAACGCTTCAAGATGTCTCAACACGCTGGATCCAGAAAAAATTTTGGTAAGTGTTTTGATTGTGAACGGCAACGAACAGCGATAGCGTGGTGTGAGAATTGCGATATTGCATTTTTCAAAGATAATTTTCGTAATTGGACTAGTGGAAATTCTAAAATAGACGAACTTATTAAATATACTCAGTTAAGCGCTAAAGAGAATATGGATTATCTTGAGTGGATTGATTTTGATCAATTCGACTTGATCGAAAATATTAATAAACGAGGCGCTTTCAGTTCGATTTATTCAGCAGTATGGATGGAAGGCCCAAGATGGAATCTTGATGAAGAAACCGAAATATGGTCTCGTACTGGTCCAATTAAGGTGATTCTAAAACGATTAGATAATTCTCAGAACATAGATCGAGAATTTGTAAATCAGGCAAGTAAACATAGATATATTAAATCGATCAGGCAATTCGTGTATAAGTAAAAAAAAATAAAAAATCATAATTTAAAATTATACAATAATACGTTTTGATAAATGTTACAAAATTTCCGAAAACACAGACATGTTATCAGTTTTATTAATGTCTCCGGTTAATATTATAATTTTTCTATGAGAATTATTTTATAAAATTTTTCATCGCTCTGGCCAAGTTTTTAAATTAACGCAAATGGATCATTAATAATTTGACCAGGATTACACGATCACATTAAATGACTATAGTTTGCCATTTGATTTTAAAATGACACATGAACAACTTGAATAATAAATTATTAAATTTAAAATTCCAATTCGCATTAGAATGACTACATATTATAACTGAAAGGTATTGATATTAATTTTTTTTCTTTTTTTCTTTCTTAAAATTAATCTAATCAAGTTATATAGATATAATAAGTGCTTGCAAAGTGGAGCACTTGCAGATTGTTTTGGTATAACTAAAGACCCAACATCATGCTACATGTTCGTTATGAGATATTATAAAAATGGGAATTTATACTCGTACCTTGAAGAAACTAGGGGGATTCTTTGCTGGAGAGATATTGTAGATATGTTATGGTCAATATCCACGGGTCTAAATTTTATTCACAAACACGATCGCGTCCATGGACATTTACATGGAGGAAATGTATTAGTTGAAAATGAAACGGGCTCAATCGACACTAAAATTACGGACACTGGATTACACGGGCTTGTTGATAAACAAATATCATCACAACAAATATATGGCGTAATACCTTTTGTTGCTCCAGAGATCTTTGATGGAAATACGCCAACTAAAGAATCTGATATCTATAGTTTTGGTATGGTCATGTGGATGTTATCAGCTGGTGTACGTCCTTATTATGATAGACCTCATAATAAACAACTAATTCAGGAAATCTGTTTAGGATTAAGACCAAGCATCGTAAATGGAACTCCACCTGTTTTCTCCAGTTTAATGTTACAATGTTTAGATACGAATCCATCAAATAGACCAACAGTATCTCAACTTTACGAATGTCTTGGAAATTGGGTCATAGCAATCTGTGACGATCCCAATCAATCCGATTTATCAGATCAATTTGACTCTGCTGAAGAGATTAAATTCTCAAATTTAGAAAAGTCTAATTTCAATACTTTCGCAATTCACGAAGAAGCTTTTTATTTCAGTCGTCCGTTATTAGATGTTTAAAGAATGGCGCTTCTTTATTTTTTTTTTTTAATTCTCGTACGTTAAATATATTTTTTCGATTTCTTTAGTTTTTAATAATATTTATTATACAGTCAGGACTCGATATAACAAATATACATATAATGAAAAGCGATTTTTAACTTTAAGATTTTATCTTTATTTATGAACAAAATCGTTATATCAAACTTATAAATTATTATTATGATATAACGATTTTTTTCATCGAACTGGAGGATCGGTAGATTTATTATAGATTTCAATTAGAAAGAGATTATCATTATTATTTATTCGTTTTTCCAAAATCACAAACATGGCAAACTCATTAACATTTAATATTTATATATTTAAGATTTTTTTTCATAAATTAATTAAGCTCATCCCTATTTTGGTTAAAATAAGCAAATATTATAATTACAAACACAAAATTATTCTTATGATTCTTTTTTTTTCGAGTTTTTATAATAAGTTACTATATACATATACAATAAATAGTTCTGTATAATAGTCAAGAATATATGACGGTAAGTTTTTTTTTAAAAAAATAGAATTTTCCTTAATATTTTTTTCAAAATAATTACGAAATTTTATTATTCTTTTGAAATATATTTTTAAAATTTTTCATTAATAAGTAACAAATTTATTTGAAAAAGTTGACGAATAAGGCCGTTCCAACTTGATTGCTTAACATCTATTTTTTTTAATTCTGATAAATACGATAATTTATCAAAAATCTGGATCAAACAAACAATCAAGTTGAAATGGCCTAAATTATAAGAAATAGCCGAATAACTTGTTGTTGGTAATTCAAACGCAAAAAATTGATCTTATTTTTGTTTAAAAATTTAAATCTAAATTCTTTTTATTTGATAACTGTGACAAAACGAATACGGTTTCTCCATCTATTATGGAACCTAACACAACATCATAAATTAATCTATCTTGATATAGTCAATTGATCATCTTATATTGGCTGGTGGATGATAATCATGGATCTCTTTTGTTTATGACCATACCACCTAATCATTCCGTACAAGATTTTCCCTTTTTTGTTCTTATGCAGTTTAAGTCTCTTTTGGTCTAACTGAAGCAGCGATGTACTGGAAGTTGGAAGTGTATTTGGACTTCCAAATCTTCAAAATTCAATAAAATTATTGGAAACCTCCGATAAAAAAAAAAATACGTATGTATAAAGTAATACATAATGAATATCGGAAGGATTAATGGAATTAGAAGGAATTGAATGGTTCAATTCCAATAAAAAAGCATTGAAAGCTTCCAATGTACATCAATAGAGTATTCAACTAAACGATTTATTCGTGTTTCCTCCCTAACGATTTTAATTAATTAATTATACGAATCACGAGTTAAATACCGTAACAATGTCAAAAATTATCTGAGTAAGTTCCACATGTTATTTAAAAAAAGGTTCAATATCAGAGCTGTTACGAATAATATTTCATTTTTTTATCTTTTATTAACGATTCCTTAAATTTTATCATCTATTACCATTTCAGTTGTAAAGAGAATTTTTTATTTATAAACTTAATATGATGAATTACACAAATAAAAAAAAAGCAAATAATAGGCGCTACATTTAAGCACAAAAGAATCTATGAGATGCGATGTAGCTATTTGCTAGCTAACTTGCAATTGTTAGTTAACTGATTGCTTTGAATTTGTATCATTTATTTACTCAATATTTACGGAAATTACCGTGCGTACAATCATTAATTAAGGTGCTTAACGTCATTGTGCCACATCACACCTTCATTGTAAGTTTAGTAAAATTCTCTAGTAAAATAAATTGCTTAATAAGTGCCGATCGCCGATCGCGCTTTGATGTATTTTATAGTTATCTTTTTAATTCTTGAAAAGTTATGTAGATAGGATCACAAATGTTAATCCAGTATATTGTTTAACATAACAAGATCGAGATGACACTCTTTACCGAGTGCTACGGAGATGAGTGGGGTCAAGGAGATGTGTAGTGTATGGTCTCCTATGTGACAGTTTACACAGGTGATAAATAACGCGACGGGCCAAACACGTGATTAGGAGTGGGCCGAAATGCTGTTAATCACCTGTGTATGGTTCACACCCCTTATTTTACACACTGTTACACACTGTTAAATATCACCATACACCACACAGTGGTCGACCCTACACCACTGGTATTCGTCTTACCGTGATTTACCGGGGAGGAATTTAACAAAAAAAAAATAGCCAGAATTATTGTTAATTTTGGCGCGAATTAAATGTTTAATTTAATACTTAAAAAATTATGGCCTAATTAGGAAATTTCTTCTAATTTTAACCTACATTATATATTGAAAAAACCCTTCAAAAATTGAAAAAGTGGGGGGAGGGTTATGTTAAACAAAGTATTGGATTTGAGCAGCCTTAACGAAAGGAAGCACTTACAGTTTGTTTTGGTAAGATTCAACATACTTTCAACATCCTGTTACATACAGTATTCGTTATAAGATATTACGAAACCGGGAATTCGTATTTGTGTATTTAAGAACTTTTTACTAGAGACATATCGTAGATATGCCATGATCAATATTAACAAGCCTTGAACCGATTTATTCATAAGTATGATATAATTCATGTGCATTACTATATGAAACTTTCATTTCATCAACACGAAAAATTGCTCGACTTCATATCATTGTCATTTCACCGACATGATATTTCATTTGAATAAACATAATAATGTATACAAAGAAATATGATTCTGGTGAATCAGGTAAATCTCAAATTTTTTTTTGTTTTTTTTTGTAATTTTTTTTTCTTTTAATATTAAATTTACATAAGATTATTACATCTCTATTTTAATATTATTTATAGGAAAGATATACAGTATCAAATAAAAATAAATAATTTTTAATGATATTCAGAATATAAATAAAACGATGGTGTCGATCATCTATCGGTGAAATGGGATTCGTTGAATGGAGTCAAAGAAATGTTATGTTAGCGAAATGGTAAGTCGGTAAAACGAAGTTGGCTAACTTTATGTTAATGAAATAGATGTCGATAAGATGGGTGAATACGAGTCGAAAGTGATTCGCTGATTAAGGATCTAACTTAAGCATACCTCATTGATGATAGTCAGAAACTTACGCGCGCGTATAAACCTTGTTGATCCTTACTATTCGACTATTCGACCGATATCTCTATTCCATCCAATAACTATTTAAAATATTTTAATTGTGATGGGAAATTGATTTTATCGATTCATAATTTATAAATATTAAAAAATATCTTGTAAAAAGTAGGAATAATTATAATTTTACTAACATACGAATACATAACAAAAAGTCTGCTTTTTTTATTTAATAATTTACGAGATATCTAATCTACTGTTTTAACCAATTTTATAAAAAAAAATTGTATGAGCGTTATTAAATTAAAATGAAAATAATATTACATACATAAAATCCATTTCTTTTTGTAAAGAATTATGTTGACGTAATTATTATAACAATTTTTTATTGGTGTCTAGACGATTACATATTTTTTACTTATTAAAATAATTTATTTTAACTTTAAATGAAAAAACTTTTGCGTGATTATCATCTGATCACTATATACTTTGCATAACAATACTGAAAAAATTCCAAAATTATTTTTAAAAAAAATAATTTAAATTATTATTAGAGATTATTGTAAGATAGTCAGTGGTTTAATTCATTTAATTCAGATAATCTTTTAAAAGAAAAAAAAATAAAGGTAAATTAATAAAAGAAAAACAAACTCCCATAATGAAAAAGAAAACCCATTAATTACTGAGAAATATTAGATATTTTCTTTTCTTTTTCATAAAAATTAAAGGTAAACGGTAATTATTACACAACATTCAGTATTTAACTAAATTAATCAAATCATTATTTCCATTTTTTTTCCACTTTTTATAATTTTCATAGTCATTTTTACCATTTGTTTTTTGCATATCGTTTTTTTATAATCCCCTTTTTTTTCAATAGAGTGGAACCATATATTGAATTTCATGGTTAGTACGATCATCAAATTAATTTAAGACGATAAAGTTACACATTTCACAGGCTTCTTTTAAAAAACCTCGGTTGATTTTAAAGGGGTGAACCCTACTTAAAATATAGGGATTTGTTTCTTACCCTATTATTAAGCAATTATGTAATGTGATCGTCAAGAAATTTGTTTTTTATAAAGATAGAGAACCCATTATTATTTTTAAAAAACACTATGATTTTTAAACCATAGTGTTTTTTAAAAAAATTCAAAAAAACTGGATTATAATCTTGAATCTTCGTTTCGTTCACTGAGCCCTTCTGGGTCTCAAGATGAGTCTCAATCTTATGGTAATTGTTCAGAATGTAAACAAAAACGAACTGCAGTAGCATGGTGTAAAAATTGCGATATAGCATTTTTTAAAGAAAATTTTTGTAGATGGACCAGCGGAAATTCTAAAATTGATGAATTTATAAGACATACTCAATTAAATGCTAGTGAAAATATGGATTATCTCGAGTGCATTGAATTCGATCAATTTGATTTAGTTGAGAATATTAATAAACAAGGTGCTTTTATTTCAATTTATTCTGCAATATGGATGGAAGGTCCAAGATGGAGCGTAGATGAAGAAGCTGAAGTATGGAATCGTAAAGGCCCAATTAAGGTTGCATTAAAACGCTTAGATAATTCTCAAAATATGAGTCAAGAATTTATAAATCAAGTAAGTAATAATAAGTATACAAAATAAAAAGCATCTTATTGACGAGTTTTAAGAACCATAAATTTTACTTGGATGAAGCTCAATTTATCATCGTGGTTTAAATTGTAAGCTTCGGATGGGAATCAAATTAATGTCCTCCCATAGCGAAATTTGAGTAATAAATGACCATAATAACATTTGCTCTAAATAAAACACCTATTAAAAAATTTATCTAATCATATATCAGACAATAGAATAAATTTTAATCTCAATTTCTTTTTCTTTATTTCTCACTTACCCAAAAAAAACAGTTGTTCAGATATTATAAATGCTTACAAAATGGAGCACTTGCGGATTGTTTTGGTATAACAAAAGATCCGACATCGTGTTACATGTTCGTTTTAAGATATTATAAAAATGAAAATTTATATTCGTATCTCGATGAATCTATAGGAGTTCTTTGCTGGAGAGATATCATAGATATGTTACGGTCAATATCTACGGGTCTTAATGTTATTCATGAGCATAATCTCGTTCATGGACATTTGCATGGAGGAAATGTATTAGTTGAAAGTAAAGCAAATTCAATTGATGCCAAAATTTCTGACACTGGATTACATGGACCTGTCAATAAACAAATATCATCCAAACATATTTACGGCGTGATACCTTTTGTTGCACCAGAGGTCTTTGATTGAAATACATCAACCAAAGAATCCGATATATACAGCTTTGGCATGATCATGTGGATGTTATCAGCTGGTGTACGTCCTTATAATAATAAATCTCATGATTCACAACTTATACAAGAAATCTGCTCGGGATTAAGACCAAGTGTTATTAGTGGGACTCCACCTGCTTTCGCTAGATTAATGTTACAATGTTTGGATGCTGATCCATCGAAGAGACCTACAGCATCCCAACTTTACGAATGGTTAGGAAACTGGGTTACAGCAATCTGTGACGATCCTGAAACTAAATTTGTAAATTTAGAAAAGTTAAACCTTAGGAATTTACCATGCCATGAAAATGCCATTTATTTCAGTCATCAATTAGTTTCACAAATTTAGTTTACCATATAGAATACTTACAGTTTTTGCAGTTTTCTGGGATACAGTTTTTTACAATTCTTTATGCTATTCTCATCATTTTCATATCGTACTTTCTTTTCTAACTCGCCGCACTTTGTTCCGTTGAGTTTTTTAAGAATTTTTTAAGCTTAGTTATTTCCTTACGTACTATAAAAATTATGCATACTAAAAATTTAATATTTTTGGTCTAAGGTTTGAAAAATTAAATATCTTCAAATTAAAACGATCAAGAATTACAATAAATTAATACAATTTTAAAATTGCTTCAATCAGTTTTTTTTTTTTTGAAAATTCTGACTCTTTTGGCGCAATACTGCGACATTTTATTTAATTTAACACTTTAAAAATTCCTTACCAAAAGAAGATATAATAAAAGTCTGGATATTTTATTTACAACTTACACAATTAAATAAAATATACATTATATTATGGCAAGCCGCACTGGTCAAAAGTGTGCCGCATTTTGCGGCAGGTGCGCCTGTTTTTAGGCGCCTGATGCGCTAAGTGCGGCACACTTTTGACCAGAGCGGCTTGCCATAGTATATGAAATTTATGAATAGCGCGGCAGCGCTATGGTTGATATACTTTTATGAAGTTTACTGTACATGATAATGAATGAAAATCGTTATGAATTCCGTTAATAAATAAACAAATAGACTTTATAAAGCCAAATTCAATATTAAGGGACATCCGATATATCTATTAAATTGAGTATATTTTGTAAAAACTCTCAAAAGTCACCTATCGGGTTGGGAAAAAAAAAATTATCTGACAAACTTATACTGAAGCTGCTCTATATAATTAAATTTTTCAGTGGCATTGCTTACAAAGTAATCGTACGTAATAAATTCAATTGCAGACATAAATTCACTGTCACGTAATAGTATAAAAATCAGGCAGTCGAGGGTCAATTTTATTTTGCCACATAATTTTATTTTTATTTTATTTTTAAGATGTAGACACGACTGGAGATTTTGCCACATAATTCGCCACTCTTAATGGCGAAATGCACCACAGCCAAAAGTGTTCGTGTTTTTTTATGGCGCTTGTTAGCTGCTGAACCCCCAACAAAATATATAATAAATATTGCTTGACAAACTGAACTTCGTGTTTGTTCGCAATGCTGCTTGCAGAAGTTACATAACTGAAGCTCATTAATATTTCATTGTAAAACTTATAAAAAAAAAATTGAAAGAAATGGTTCGTTAAACATGCCGGAGAAAAATATCAACCAAAGAAATTACTGAAAGTGCCTTTTACGTACTTAAACTATACGTAAGGCATGGTAAGACATGACATATCTCTTTTTGCAAGAACTTTGCAAGAACATTGAAAAGTATACTAGATGTAGAAGCATCATTCATTGGAAGGTATTGATTTTTAAAAAAAACTTCCAAAAGTGACACCAAAGCACACAGGCAAATTCTCATTGAATGAGCATTAATGACTAATGAAAATAGCCTATTCCTTTCAACTTTTATAAATACTTGGTATAAATGGGAAAGATCAGTTCGTCACATGCATAAAGATCACACATGCAAATAAATCATGAATGCCTGAATTTTACGTGGAATTTTTTTCATACGTATGTTCAGAGATCTTCCAGATACTTGGTGATCGTGGCGCTTCCAACAAGACTGTGACTCCAGCAATCTTGCCAAAGGCCTTTCTCTGGAATTCCCTAGAGTGATCATTTAAACTCTATTGAAACCTACTATGAGCAATCATAAGAATGAGAGATATCAAAAAAATCTTGATCTGGAAGAATTTATGGTGAAATATTCCCAAAACTGTTCTAGCAATTTTTAAAATTAAGAGACAAGATCGCAAGTTAATTATTGAAAATAACAGAGAACATATACCATATTAAATTTTTTTAATAGTTATCTGATCTTCGGCTTTAAAATGTAAACTTCACATGATTTATTAAATATGAGTGAAACAATAATGAGACATGTTAGTGATAAATCTATAAATTCACGTGAAGAAAGTATTGGAAAGAATAATTTCGATTTTGACTTATTTGATGGGCAACGCGTCCAGAACGGAAATCCGGAACTAGTTTTACTTACCAGTTACCATTTGTGTTGAATAACGAAAATTTGATGGATTTTTTTTCCTACAGTTTAATAAGAAAATTCCTAATTTCTAAAATATCATCAATAAAATTCTTTATATTTTATTTATTTATTATTATAAAGAATTATCTGATTTTTGAGAAATTAAAATTAATGTGACGTCAATTATCATATATGGTGAAATTTTTATTAAAATTGGTTAATTTGTGTTTGTGATTTTGTACGAAAAATTTTAAAAAACAATTAAAGTCAAATCGCGTGACAAAAACGAAGAAAAATTGCGTTAAAGAAAAATTATGTCGAAGGTGACGGACGTCGTGATGAATGTCTTTTCCGTCCATACATACAGTTGTGATGTATATGGATCAAAACGAATTATAAATAAGAAGATTGACATTAAAGAATTATAAAAGTGTACTATAATGTATTTGATTCGATTCACGTTTATGATGTTAAGGTTGTTTTATCAGTAATATACACCAATGGAATCTAATGGACGACTAATATAGATGGCATTTTCGTGACATGGTGTAATATTAAACTTTAATTTATCTAAATTTGCGAATTTAGTTTCTTCTGCGACATCAAATTGATCAGATAAATCTGATTGTTCGGGATCGTCGCATATTGCTGTAACCCAATTTCCTAACCATTCGTAAAGTTGAGATGCTGTTGGTCTAATTGATGGATTCGCATCTAAACATTTTAACATTAAACTGGAGAAAACAGGTGGAGTTCCATTGACTATATTCGGTCTGGTTCCCGAACAAATCTCTTGTATAAGTTGTGAATCATGAGGTCTATCACAATAAGGACGCACACAAGCTGATAACATCCACATAATCATGCCAAAACTATAGATATCAGATTCTTTGGTTGGTGTATTTCCATCAAAGATCTCTGGAGCAACAAATGGAATTACACCGTAATTTTGTGATATTTTTCCATTAGCATGTCCGTGTAATCCCGTATCTGTGATTTTAGCATCAATTGAATCCAGCTCATTTTCAACTAAAATATTTCCTCCATGTAAATGACCATGAACGAGATTATATTCATGAATAAAATTAAGACCAGCTGATATTGACCATAGCATTTCTACGATATCTTTCCAGCATAGAATTCCCATAGTTTCATCGAGATACGAATATAAATTTCCATTTTTGTAATATCTTATAACGAACATGTAACTTGATGTTGGATCTTTTGTCATACCAAAACAATCTGTTAGTGCTCCACTTTGTAAACATTTGTGATATCTGTATAACTATAAAATAAAAGAAAAAAGAATAAGTAAAAAGTGCGTGATCATAAAAATAGCAATATAAATTTTGAAATTAATTTTGGTACTATAAAAAACTATTTTAAGTCTATAGTTCTATTGCATTAATTTGTGCCCCATATTTAATAAAGTAACAAACACATTGGTTGAAAGGATATTTTAATGCTGTAATTTTATACATGGGGTGAATTAGGTTCAAGTCATACCGAAATATTACGACATTACACCAATTCGGCATTACACCGGTGTAATGCTGGTGTAGTACTATTTTCATATGAATCTTCGAACAAAAATTCGGTAATATATTTCTCCATTACGCCGCCTTAATGCCGAACTATTTGAAATAATCACTTCCCCCATGTATAAATTGTTGTATTACAGAAAAAAAATCGGTACAACAAAAGATACGTCATCCTAACAAACCAACCAATAATTAAATATCACTTATTACTTCATTGACAAGTTGACGAATAAGAGATATTACTTACTTGGTTTACAAATTCTTGACTGATGTTCTGAGAATTGTCTAATCGTTTTAGGATGACCTTAATGGGACCATTGCGAGTCCAAACTTCGGCCTCTTCATCTAGATTCCATCTAGGCCCTTCCATCCATATTGCGGAATAAATTGAACTGAAAGCACCTCGTTTATTAATATTTTCGATCAATTCAAATTGGTCAAAATCAATCCATTCAAGATAGTCCATACTCTCATTTGCATTTAGTTGGGTATCTCTAATAAATTTATCTATTAAGAAATTTCCACTAGTCCAATTATGGAAATTTTCTTTCAAAAATGCAATATCGCAATTTTTACACCATGATACCGCAGTTCGTTGTTTTTGACAATCTTGACATTCACCATAATCAGCGTTTGAGATAATTTTTTGAGACCTAAAACACGGGTCCAAAGGGTGCTCCAGTTTGAGAATTACTTGTAAAAATTCAAAATTTTGAATTTTGAATTTTTACATTATAAAAATTACTACCTATTTATAAGTAATAAATATATTATAAATTATATAATACTTTTAATTTTACATAAGAGTACTTTAATCATTAGATAATCACAGCTCGACAATGAGATCATCTATCAAATATGACGTATTTGTGTAACTTACTTTTTTTTCATTGTAAATACAAATATTTACTTTTAAGATTATCAATCAATAATCAATCAATGAAATCAATGACAACAAATAAAGAAATATATAAAGATATAAAGATATAAAAGATTAAAAGGAATTATGCTCCCGTTTTTAAAAAAGAAAGTAAATTCATTTAATAACATATTCGTCAAGATATTTTTAGCACATAATAATTCATAGATTGATAAAATTTGCCAATTCATATGATTCAAAAAGCATGAAATTTTTTTTTTCGTAACACAATAAATTTTTAATTCACTATAACTTTTCCAACAGGGCTTTATTAAATTCATATTTTGATCTAATAATAATTTTAATTAAAAATCGTTTTCTTTTTTTTAATAAATCATATACTGCAATTTATACGACCAATGAAATTCTAGATGAAATTCTATTTGATAATCTAAATTTTCGCTAAAGTTATGATAAATATTTATATCATAGTATTGTTTTGTTTATCTTACATAATATAAACTCTACGGATTTACGTTGCCGGAAATTAAATATCGATCATTTTTCCGAGATGCGATGCTTGAATTTTAAATATTTATTATCATACTTTCTTTTTGATCAATTAGCTTACCTAAAACAAGACTATTTATTTACATGTATTCGGTAATGTTTGATAAATTAATATGTATAGAGTAACCCTTTATTTTAATACAAATATAGTAATTGGGTTACATTCTACAATTGCCGATCGATCTAAATTTGTACAGCTTGCAGCCCTTTCGGAATTATTATAATGTGTATATGTGAATTACATTAAGGCCCACGCAATATTTCTTTGGGCAAAAAATACTCTTTGAGTAACTTTTTCTCCAGAACAGTAAGTTTTAACCATATATACCAAAGTAATTTCAAGTATTATTTTTGTGATATCTATAATTTTGTAGTCTATAAATATTTATTATTTATTTATTTATTTATTTATTTATATTTTTACAATCCACGAGACGGATTCCTGATTTATTATTTTGAACTTAAGAGAAAATTATATATGAAATAAATTTTTTTGTATTTATAACCTTAGGTAATACTGTATTTACAGTGAAATTGATGTTCAAATTTTTATATTTATAAAAAAAAATTCATTCCTTTTTTAAAAATTGATAATTCTTTTTGAATTGAAATAATTTAAATTCAGTTTTAAGCTTAAAGTAAGTTAGACTCGAAAAGCTGCTTGGTAACACGAATGTTATTTAATTAGATAAACTCTCACATATGCTTTTACTGGAGTAATATACATTTTCAGAATAATTATTTTGTGTAATATAAATAATTTACTTATCAAAAAAATGTTCCCTATAAAAAATACAATTAACATATGCATATGATTACTAATTGCCAAAAATAGTTAACAGAAGTATATATATTACTTATTTATAAGTTGAAAAGTATTTAAATAATTAGAATTTTCCTTTCATTTATTAAAATAAAAAATTTTAAAAAATTTATAACCGTTTCTTTTAACCTGACACGCTTTTTAATCGAGATAAATTATGACTTTAGAAGGTTTATATGACAATTGTACTAATTGCAAACGACAACGAACTGCGGTATTATGGTGTAAAAATTGCGATATTGCATTCTTAAAAGAAAATTTCCGCAGTTGGACCAGCGAAAATCCAAATATAGATGAATTTATTAGGCATACTCAACTAAACGCTAATGAGAGTATGGACTATCTTGAATGGATTGATTTTGACCAATTTGAATTGATCGAAAATATTAATAAACGAGGTGCTTTCAGTTCAATTTATTCCGCAATATGGATGGAAGGGCCCAGATGGAATCTGGATGAAGAGGCCGAAGTTTGGACTCACAATGGTCCCATTAAGGTCATCCTAAAACGATTAGACAATTCTCAGAATATCAGTCAAGAATTTGTAAACCAAGTAAGTATAAATCTGTCACCAAGCGAAATTCAGGTTGTTTATACTGTGGAAGTCAATAAGTCAATATTGGTCAGCATCTCCTAACTTTTCAATCAAAAAAAAGTTATATAGATATTACAAATGTGTGCAAAATGGAGCACTCGCAGATTACTTTGGCGTAACTAAAGATCCGACATCATGTTACATGTTCGTTATGAGATATTATGAAAGTGGGAATTTATATTCGTATCTTGACGAATCCATGGGAGCCCTTTGCTGGAGAGATATTGTAGATATGTTATTGTCAATATCCGCAGGTCTCAATGTTATTCATGAATCTGGTCTTATTCATGGACACTTACACGGAGGAAATATATTAATTGAAAGAAAAATGAATTCAATTCATGCTAAAATCGCTGATACTGGATTACACGGACCTGTTAACAAACAAATAGCGCAAATTTATGGTGTAATACCCTTCGTTTCTCCAGAAATATTTGATGGAAATATACCAACCAAAGAATCTGATATCTATAGTTTTGGTATGATCATGTGGATGCTATCAGCTGGGGTACGTCCTTATTGTGACAGACCTCATGATTCACAACTCATACAACAAATTTGCTCAGGCTTAAGACCAAGCGTTGTTTGTGGAACCCCCTCAGCTTTCTCTAAATTAATGCTACAATGTTTAATTGCTAGTCCATCAAGTAGACCTACGGTATCCCAAATTTTCAAATGTTTAGGAGATTGGGTTTCCGGTTTATCAAATCAGTTTGATGATACCGAAGTTCCATTCGCAAATTTGGAAAAGTTAAGTCTTCGGTCTTTATTATGTCATAAAAAAGCCATCTATTTTAGCCGTCCGTTAGATTCCATCATTATTCAGTATTGAATTTTTTAAGCTATAAAATTACCATATTACTATTTTTTTCGTAAATTTACACATACATTAATTACGTTAAACAATTCTTTATTTATATTTAGAGAAATTACAATTTCGTAAATTGATTTATTTCATTTAACGTATATTCACACAATCGGGAATTTCATTTATTTATCAATACTCGTTTATTTTATTGTATAAATCGGATTTTTTTTTCCTAGAACCAAAATTCGAACACCATTTGATAGTAACATTTTAAGCTATTATTATTATTTTTTTTTATGTAATTATGCCGACAATCTTAAGATTTTTATGAAAAGACATATAATCGGAAAATTGAAATCACAAACACTTTTTATTTAAAAAATTTTTGAGGTGGTAATAATTTACTTTACGATGACATTATCAGTTATGATTTATTATTTAATAATCGGGAATTTTTAAGAATAAAATTCAAATATCAAACATCGGCTGATATTTTTTTTTATTTCAACCTGTTTACTGCGTTACTTTTTAATATAAATTCATTGCATATCAATGATATTACATAACTTACAAATTGTTTAAACTAAGTTTAAAGTCGTTATTCAATTTACTAATATCCAATATTGACTGGCACTTGAGCAATACGACCACATTCATCAAAATAACTTCTATATTGATGCTGATACAGCAAATGATTTGGATCTAGAAAGTTGCTTGTAAAATTTTACGAGTTAGTGTATGATGGGGTTCCTTAATGTACAGTGAGGGTGTACGATATTAAAGTACGAACTGGCGGGAATTAACTTTAACGCTATCACGTGCAAGTGCATAACTCCTAAACTCGGGCCAATTCGTACGTTAATATCGTACACCTTCACTGTACGTTTGATAGGAAAACGAGAACTGTTAAAAGCAGTGATGGCAAATGACCAGATCATTTGATCAAATGACAAATGGACCTTTGAATGACCTGGTCATCTGAGGTCATTTGCCATTTGAGTCATTCAAATATAATGTTGTGATTTAGGCCAAACTTATGAAGCCGGCCAGAATTACAAATTTATAATGTCACGTGATATATTGCATCTGACGAAAATTGAAATTGTGTAAATAATTTCGGCCCAAATTATGATTTAATTTTCAAATGGCTAAGGTCATTTGACATTTAACCTCGAAATGACCCAAATGACACATGACTAATGACTTAGATCATTTGATGTCATTTGGGTCACTTTGCTATCACTGGTTAAAGTCTGTCTCATTGCTTAATAGTGAAAAAAATAAAAGGGGGAAAATATATTGATAAAATCAAAGTGATACAAATAAAATCGAAGAATAGAAAGGTGATACATATAAAAAGTGTATAATCAATAATCGAAAAAAAGGAAACGGGGTACAACTAGCTTATTCAAAAAAAGAAATCGGAAGAAAGGAAGGTAGGAAATTGCAGGGTTAACACAATTAGTATATGACCGTACAGTCACGCTTCGCCAGACACAACATTGCATTCATATTTAGATATTTTAAATAAATCTCATCTTCTCATTATGTTCGAGGTTATATAATTTAATTAAAAACTAATATTTTATACTAATAATTATAAAAAAAATTTTGAAAGGTTTCGCTAAGTTTCGTTAGTATTGCATCTTTCCTCTCGTTCAATATCTTGTTGATAAATGACAACACATTTAAAAGCAATAATTCCACTTGTTCTAACTTATTTCTTTCAATAATTCCTGCTTCTTAAGTTTCATGATGTATGCAAGATTATAATATTATTTCCGTGCGCATAAAACAATAACTGCTTAATAAATATATGTTGTTTCAATTTTCATATTTTACTTCTAAAGTGTTAGTGAAAGTAATTTAATTTTCTTTCATAAATAAATTATAATTCATAGACGTGTATTTACGTGCTTTTTCATGCTATATTGCTATAAGCTTCCTTAGTCTTCAGCACATAGTTTTAAAACGATAAAAAGAATTTGGATATCGGATTAATAAATTATTGAATAAATTAGTAATTGTTTACCAAAGGAAAAGGATCATTTTATTGGACTTTATAAATACGTTCATGATGATGATTCGTTTATTTGACGATAAATAAGAATAATCAGGTCTTAAGTATACATTTATACAGTAATTAGAGTATTAGATTTTTTGCCAAATATTGTAATATAGTAAATGGTGTGGGGACGCATTCGTTTCACCGACACACGATATGTGACAATTACTAAACACCTGGCCCACATTACGGCATAACTCCGGCCATTATGTTTATACATAGTCAGTGAAATGAAGTAATGAACCACACCTCATTAAATGATGTCGAAAAGAAAAGCAGATAAATGAACTATTGCTATTTTGCTTAAGATTGGTGTAAGATTATGCTTGTTTATACACTCTCATTCGCAATTTAGTTGTTTATTTCTGATTGATCGAGCATTTGATCACGTATTTTATTTGTTGGTGCAACGTGAACGATACGTAAGTAAAGATTATTATGATCGAAATTAATGAAAATTAATTTTCTCAAACTGACCCGTTCCCAGTCTATAAACTTCTGTTCTAGACTTCCTCTTGAAATTAATACAGCTGACCCGATCTCAACTTTAGGTCACTAGATGTAATCGCACTTCGAATGGGATAAGGCTAACAACATTCATTACACACAAATCCAAACGTCAAAACGTCAGTAACCAGAGCTGATCCATATATAGGAAATGATAATGATGAATCGCCACCCTGGACAATGCGTCGGAACTTACTCTACAGATAAACCTCCTCCTATAACACGAAGGAACGATTTAAGCAGATCTAATTTTTATTTTGAGTTTGATATTAGTTTAAATTGTTGTTTATTAATTCTGATTTTAGATTTTAATTTATAGATTATATTGGTTATAATTTTATGTTATATTCATAGTTTATTTAATTTTGTTATTTTTATTTTTATTTTTTATATTATATTATAATTATTCAATACCGGAAATGGGGTTCTTGTTTCAGGGGTTACTACCTACATACTCACTGGATTCTGCTGGTGTTAGTATAGAAATGTTTTCCTAATAAAGCTACTGCTTCCAATAAGGATAATTAAAAAAAAATGAAAATTAATTAACATCACAAGCTATTGAGTTAAGTGTTTGATAAATAATATCAAAAAAAGATTATCATAATTGATTTAAAATTTTTTGGTGCTTCAAAAAACACACCAATAAGCATATGCAATTCCGTGTACGATATATCAATTGATAAAAAAAGCCGATATTATTTAGATAATATTGATAAATTTATATGCATTAAATATGTATTAAATAATATATTCGAGCACAAATTCAGAATATATTTTAATTCGTGATCCGTAAGTCAACGGTACAAAATTATGTCGATCATTGGTAATACTCGATTTTCATTTCTTAAGTAATGCTCTTTATGTAAACCCATTCAATACCAACATATTTTAATGCATAATATTTATATATTTTCCGATCGCTTGCAGTTGACTCGTTGGATCACGAATTAATTTTTTTCTAAATGAAAATTTTCATTGCTTAACGCACTCTTTTATTTGAGCTTTTTCTTATAGTTTTTGTAATTAGTACGAAATTAAAATTCTGTCCAATATCAATCAGCAATGCACAAATACTATTATGCGTTTTTTCCACGAGCCTTTTTTAGAAAGCACTGCCGTCCGTTAAACTTCATTGGATGTAATCTTAGATAATGATTATTAAACAATTATGTCAGTTTTGTGTAACGAAGTAGGTAAATCTTACCACAGATAGGCGACGTATGTAACGCACCATCTTACCATCTCAAGTAGTGCAGGTGATGATTTGTCACAAGGTCACGTGATAGAGGTGGTCGCGTTGTTTATATTTTAATATCTCTGCGACTTAGAATATTTTTTTGTGGTCTGATCTCTATTTGTCGCTTGCATAAAATGTCACATACTTTATGTGGCGTGATAATGATAATCCCGAGATGTCAAACCGAATTGACATTTTTAAGCCCCTAAATTGCTACATATCCAATGATCCATTGAAAATCTATACTTAAATAGTACTATAATAACAGATAAGGAATTATTTTTGAATTAATTTACATATAGAGACTCATTTTTAATGTAGGATAATATTAAAGTAATAATACATTAATTAAATGAAGAATTAAATTTATGGATTGTTTCAAATTTAGTAATGATATAGGTTTTAATTAGTACTTTTTATGTTCGTATTATCACATGTATTGTTTAAAAAGAAATTTAATATTTAGAAAAAAATTTGATTTGTTATATTTGTTTGAAAAATATTTTCTTTGTTTCTTTTTCACAAAGAAAAAAAAAGGAACACCCAATTATACAATAACTATAGCGCTGATTTGGAAGTCCATTGTATAGGATAACTTACGTAATATGCAATGACTAAAAGAAAATTCTAAACATTTTAGTATTTAATATCCGTTTTACATTGTTTCTTAATATGTAAGTAATAATTATGCAATGATTACAAATAAAGTTTCCTATTTGGAGTTGAATAATTCCGATAATATAAATACTAATTAAATAGTGTATCACATAAAATTAATTAACAATGAAAATCAAAGGGAGAGTCCCTCAAAAAATCAATTTACAATAAAAAATTGGTGACTCTTTTTCTTTCTACAATGTAACCAAATCGATAAAAAAAGGGCACTTTTTATGAAAGTCAAGAAAGGGCGAAGATAAAGAAATTCAGTTTGCATAACAGAATATTTATAAGTGGGCCTACTCTTGTTAGCTGTCGAATCTATGCAAACTAACACTTTATATGACATCACGCCACCCCAAAGACAAGCCCCATTTTTTATAGCACGAATTTGTTTCTTAATATTATTTTAAGAAAATTCCTAATTTTAACCGGAGGGAAATTCCTCCCGTGACGAATAATGGGGTGACGAATAGGATTTTTAATAACAAAAAATTTCTCTGTCTCCAGATTAATTAACAAAAATGAACCCTAACTCTAATAAATATTAGGGGAGGGAATTTCCCTCCGGTAGGTATTTTCTTATTTTAAACATAATTTATTATCATATATATCATATATTTTGCATAAGTAAAAAAAAACTTATAAAATCTTAGTAAAAAGGCACAAAAGAAAAGGGATAGTTACTATAAAAACAAATTTGCGATTTCGAAAAAAAAAGAGGTTGGTAACGAATTGAATTTAAAATTAATGGAGTTTTTGAACGTTAATTTAAATTTTTAATGCTTATAAACACGATACGAAATTAAAATTGTTTGGTAAACAAACTTATTGTACGATAAATAGATACTCTCTATTTTAATTCGATTAGGATTAGATGACGATATTTATGCATTCACATTTTCCCAAAGAAAAATGGCGTAGAGGAAGACTCATTATTGATAATAGAATCTAATGGACGACTAAAATAAATAGCATTTTCATGACACGGTGTATTATTAAACTTTAATTTATCTAAATTTGCGAATTTAGTTTCTTCTGCGACATCAAATTGATTAGATAAATCGGACGGATCGGGGTCGTCACAAATTGCTGTAACCCAATTGCCTAACCATTCGTAAAGTTGGGATGCTGTCGGTCTCTTCGATGGATCAGCATCTAAACATTGTAACATTAATCTAGCGAAAACAGGTGGAGTTCCACTAATAACATTTGGTCTTAATCCTGAGCAGATTTCTTGTATAAGTTGTGAATCATGAGGTTTATCGTGATAAGGACGTACACCAGCTGATAACATCCACATGATCATACCAAGGCTATAGATATCAGATTCTTTGGTCGGTGTATTTCCATTAAAGACCTCTGGTGCAACAAAAGGTATCACGCCATACACGTGTTGTGATGGCATTTGTTTATCAAAAGGTCCGTGTAATCCAGTATCCGTGATTTTAGTATCAATTGAGTCCATTTCGTTTTCAACTAATACATTTCCTCCATGTAAATGTCCATGAACGAGATTATGCTCATGAATAACATGGAGGCCCGCAGAGATTGACCACAACATATCTACAATATCTCTCCAGCAGAGAATTCCCATAGTTTCATCGAGATACGAATATAAATTTCCATTTTTGTAATATCTTATAACGAACATATAACACGAAGTTGGATCTTTTGTTATACCAAAACAATCCGCAAGTGCTCCATTTTGTAAACATTTGTGGTATTTGAATAACTTTTTTTGAGTAAATTATAAATTTTTTTTTAAAAAAAAGCAGAGAAAAAAAACAAAAAAAAACATAATATTAATATATATTCTATTGTTTGTAATATAAATAGATTAATTAAATGCATCTAGGTTTTAACGTAGCATAATTGTTTATATTTGATCTACTGAAGATCCGGAGTAATGTTTATATCCAGTGTTTGTTATTCTGGCTATACCAATTATGCATTAATAATTTATACATTCTATGAAAGGACTTAATCATCTAATTTTATTAAGTTCATTCACCAATGGTGGGATATCAATTTAATTCATGAGCTTATCATAGTTTATTAAACAATAATGATAAGCTTCAAAGGATAAAATTAATATCCCATCCAGGTAGAATTTTATGGGGCAATTAATGCATAATTTATAATTTATTTCTAGATATAAAAGGACATTTGAATATATAATCAATTTTGAGATTGACAGCAGATCAATCTCAAAATTCGTTAATAAGATACTTTTATTTTATGTACTTACTTGATTTATAAATTCTTGACTCATATTTTGAGAATTATCCAAACGTTTCAATAAAACCTTAATTGGGCCATTACGATTCCATACTTCGGCTTCTTCATCTAAATTCCATCTTGGACCTTCCATCAAAACTGCCGAATAAATTGAACTAAAGGCACCTCGCTTATTAATATTCTCAACTAAATCAAATTGATCAAATTCAATCCATTCGAGGTGGTCTATATTTTCATTAGCACTTAATTGAGTATCCCTTATAAATTTATCAATTATAGAATTTCCGCTGGTCCAGCTACAAAAATTTTCTTTCAAAATCGCTATATCGCAATTTTTACACCATGCTACTGCAGTTCGTTTTTGTTTACATTCTGAACAATTACCGTAAGATTGAGATTCATTTTGAGATCTAGAAGGGCTCAGTGAACGAAACGAAGATTCAGTATTATAATCCATTTAAAAAAACACTATGATTTAAAAATCATAGTGTTTTTTTAAAAAAATTAATGGGTTCTCTTTATAAAAAAAAAACCCCTTCTTGACGATCACATTACGTAATTTGCTTAATAATAGGGTAAAAACAAATCCCTTTAATTTATTTAGGGGGGGGGGAGCCGGAAAAATCATCCGATCAACAAGCAAATATACAGGTTTTTAAAAAAAGGGTGAGAAACCAAGGAGTAATGCAAAATAATAAATAATTTGTTGCACATGATAAAGAATAGTTGCCAATTTGTTTCTAAAAAAAAATCAATATGTAAATAAAATTTCAAACGAATATTAAATAATATTTGCGTCAAAGTATCGTTTTAAAAAATAGGAAACGAAAATTGTGTCGGCTTATATACAGTATATAAATCAATTTTAATGTTACATATAAGTAGTATTCGATAAAAGTAATAATAACGATAAGTGAAAAATAATTTTTCCATACAAACATGAATGACGAGAAAACGCAAATTAATTTAAATATAAACAAATATATTATAAATATTAAAGGAAAGTTTAGCGTTAATTGTGAACAAAATAATTGTACATTAAAATCTCTACAATATCCCTTCAGAAAAGTATTCCCATAAATTCGTCAAGATACGAATAATCATACTTATTTTATGTTTTAAAATTAAAAAATCTATGTAAAAAATAAATTCTAATCTACTGCGGAGTAAAACACGATTGGTCGGCTCAAATTTTCTAAAAATTTGTACTTACCAAATTATTTTTGAAAAACGAGTGTTTAAATAAAAAAATTTGCTTCATACATAATTATAATTTAAGAGAATTCTGATAAATCAACAAGTAGTAAAAGAATTATTATGTAACTAACATTATTAATATTATTATATCGGGCTTAACAATTAATAATTGATGCCGTAATTTGTTATATAACAATAAATTTGTTGGTATATCAGTATATGGAAGGTGAAATTTTGATTCGTTATAATTTTTCCTTTTACAGAATTTTACTGCCATGCACAGAATTGCAATCATTGCTTTAAATTATAATAGATTTATTTTATTTAGTAGTTAAAGAATTAGAAATAACATTTTAGGTAAAAGCTCATTCTTATATCGCAGTAGTTTTCATTTACATTTATGTAAGACTTATTTAACTTATGAAGTTTAAACTAAAAGTAGTTTGACATTGAAATCATTGAAATCAATTAGTTTTCCGTAAAGAATATGAAAAAATCGAGATCGTATTTAATGATCGGCCGAAATCTGGATCTTTGAAATACGTGTCATATTTTTAGTAAATTTTTTTATAAATAATTCTTTGGCTTCCCATTAAGAAGAATCATAATTAATAATTAATTCACTTTTTTAAACCGCATGTATAGGAATTGCCCCGATAGTAATAAAACAATGAATTTTAGAATCATTGAAGAAAGATTGTGTACCTCCCCTGAGCCTGAAAAGGGGTAAAATCAAATTTAACAAATAATTTTAGGTTATTTATCTAAATTTAGTTATATTAAACTTATACCTATTTTTCTTAACTGTTCATGATAAATTTTTTAGGGATGAAATTTCTCTAATAGTTTATTTGAATCATATTATTTATTATAAGATACAAATATACCCCCCAAAATCGTAAAATTTATACTAACGAAAGGCTTACGTATTCTTATTTCTTTCTAGGAAGTTCCTTGCAATGACGTCTCAGTCGTCTCTTGTTTGATTAAAAATCAATATTTATTTATATCTCCGTATTATAAATATTTTTTCTATAACTAAAGATCGATGATCCTGAATATTTTTAATCGACTACGTCATTAAAAAAAAGGTAAATAATAAATGTTAAAGAAAAGAATTAACAAACAAACTAATAATTTTAATCTCTCATTTTAGGAAATTTTAATCCTTTATTTGAAATCGATTAAAAATATCAAAAAACTGTCATTAAAAATATTCACGTACATATTTCATGTTTTTAATCGAACGATAAAACACAATTGGAGGTAGTTCAATTAAACTAACCATTTTTTATATCTATAATAGTAACATATAAATGAAGAATGTATCAGATATTTATTTTAATTTTCATTTTTTTAAATTAAATACAGTAATAAAACTTTTGATTTTACTTACAAAATATTTTCTTTCGTGCATTAAGTTCTTGCATTATTACTAATTATTACTTTCATATAAATAATATATATATGTATTCATCCCGAATTAACTCTCCACCCATGATAATGAATTTATCTATCGTTCACTAAAATATGATGAATATTTCTGGTACACATCAATTATTTTATTTAAAAGTCTCATTTTTAAATTTTACACGTTATTCTTCTTTTGATGACCATCCCTCCATAAGATTTAATGCTACATTTAATAAAAAATATTTTGAGTGATGAAATGTGCGTATTGGATTTTGATATACAATAATAGTGCAAAATCATAATGATAGTTAGTGGCTTGCCAAGCAACGAATATTATCACTCGCCACAATATAAATAGATTGGATGATACTTATCACCCGTAGCAACAAGCCTATTTCATCTTTTTGCTTAGATAACAAGCTATAAAGACATTTTATTTGACTTAGACTAAATCATTAGTAAAATTACAGTTAAGATACGAATACAAATATACAATTAGTTTCATCTAAATTAAAATTAAACTACTAATTAGAAAAAGAAAAAAGGCCTAAATGATTCAATTAAAATGGCTAAGCAAAACTATTACTTAAGCTAAAAGTTAACTATACAAACGTTTCGTAACCCTTCCATTGATCTAATTATTAAATCCTTTTCGCAAATGTTTATCTTACGTACTATTCTAGCCGTTCCATAAAGTAATATTGTTTTCATGGCTGCAACCGTGATATTCACATGAGTGGTGGTATAACATAAATTTGCATGAAAGATATGAAATTAATATTATTGTTATTAGAATCTCTAAAAATTGATCATATAAATTTGATTATTCATCTTGATAATAGGACATATACCGAAATTACAACTTATAGATGATAACGAATCTGAATTCAAGGTATCGAGACGCTAATATGAGTAACTAAAATATTGCAACATATCGTTCCACAATACTCGACTGATCTGTTAATCGTTTCTGAGATTCTGTATATAATGGTATATTTGCGGTCAATGGTTGGAATATAGAAATTTGCGATAAATATAAATCGTAAATTAATTAATGAAAGGTGTTCTGTATCAATTGCAAAATTAATTCATAAACATTAGATTGTTTTATGGCAAAACGTACTCACTTTTTATCACTTTTCATAGAATTTGCGCAAATGATTCGTTTTCTGATACCTAATCAACATCGTTGTGCAGTATTATTAATTTTGCTAACTTTTCTAATAATTAAAAAGTATCATTTGTTAGTAAGAATATAAGATGTTTATAAAACACATCCAAGTTATTTTTCCCTAATCTCTGGAAAGATCTGATTTTTTAATACCAATATAAAGTAAGGAATTGTTACTTTAAGATAATTACATACTTTAGATAACTTATTGCTCTTCCAGCATCGAATATTGATTGAATACCAGATTCTTAAACGACTCCTTCCGATGCCATATACACCTGAATCATCTTCATATTCATTAAGTATCCCGTGTGATACTAGAAGTTCTAAAAGATATAGTGAGTTCGTATATTTTAAATTGATTTAGAATAATTAAAATAAAAATATATATATTTTTATGTACCTGATATTGTTGAAATATATAAAAAAATTTTCTTGATTTTACATCATATTACAAATGTTAAATGATATTGGCATTCATCTTATCTTTGATCATTTAATTTTGTCGCTGATAAATCTTTTAAATATTATCCCTTCTAATTAATTGATAGTAGCGACCTGATCAAATACCCAGGCCATCAGAATCGATATCATTACGCATAATTAATAGATGATCTTTTTTTTGTTTTCAAGTAAGATTAAGTGCAAATAAAAAGTATACATTTTTTTATTTGCTTAATTATTAATCTCATGTTTGTATATAATCTTACCTATTCTTAATTTTTTCATTTCCTTAAGAGTACTATCAGACCATCAGAAGGGCCGTATCAAAATTAAGCACTTTTTTTTTATTAAAAAAAAAAAAAAAGATGACGCCTTATCGATAATTGGTCGATGCATAGTTCTAGCCCACTTGCCTGTTTCATGGCATATTGAATGATATACTGTATAATATTTTAAAAGAAAAAAGAGATATGTATTACCGCCATTACGTAATCTCTGAGCTTATCAGCTTATCATTCGGCATTAAAAAGCAAGCCACAAAGTTCCACAACGCTTATCTCATCGTATTATGTCATAAAGATCATTTTTTTTTATTTAATTATTTTAAGATACACAAAAATAAGACAATTAAAAAAAAAAAAATCTAGATATCAACTAAATCGACTTGCCTTTCTTCTTCATTTTCATTTCTCCTTCTATTACCAATTTTCAATTTCCATATAGAAAAATATTCATACCCTTTAATAAGCAAAATTCTTCCAATTTCATAACATGTAAAAAATATCAAACACCAGAGACTAAACCAAAAATAACTTTCCCAATGCATAACAAATTTTCTTTGATGACAAAAAGTAGATTGAAAACTATACATCCCTTTACTTTCAGAATAAAATGATGTCCAATAATTTGCTAGTAAAGTCATTGGCAACAAATTATAATAAGCTGGGTTCTTCTTTGGATAAACTCTTGGTCTCGTTCCTGTTGCATCAAATAAAAAACTTGTTCTCTTCGCCCTTAGTTCTGTCATAATTCCTTCGTATGTGATGTTAGGAACATTAAGAACTGTCCATGCATATGCGCCTGTTGAAGGAAAATGTACATCTGATCCTGTAAGCATTAACATATTATTTTGTTGTACGAACAAATATGTTTGCCAGTCAAATGTATCTCCATTGATTACTTCGAATCCATCAACTCCCTATTATGATAAATATCATTTTTAAAATTAATAAAATTACTACAATTATTACACATATTCAGATTCTAATTAATAACGAATACCATATCTCGAAGTTTCTCTCTTGAAGGATGCTCTGGCAACGTTCCAACTTGATATCCCCATTCAGTACTGTTACTCCATGGAATATGATTTACAGATACTAAACCACCTAATTTATGAACATGATCTATTATTTCTTCTAACCTTTCATCTGAAGGAAAATCTGGAAAAACATCTACCGTTTCATTTATACCAATAAACTGCATATGGAGTCGACAGGAACTATTCAAATAAAAAAAGGTTAATGTTATTAATAATTAGTTAAATGAATTTATTTTATATAATTAAGGTTAATTAAGAGTTAAATTTTTTTTTTTTTTACCTATATTCCATTGCCGGTATTACAGTGATCGAATCATTATATTTTTCACGTGCAATTCTTTGGGCTTCTAAAGCACCTTCAATATTATTGTGATCACTTACAATTATAGCATTATATCCATTAGCTATTTATTAAGTATCGAAATAGAACGAAATAGAAAATATTTTAGAATTTTTTTTTAAATTTAAGAAAGAAATCCATTAAATAAAATATATTTTTACCTATTGCCCATTTTAATAATTGCTCGGGGTTCATTCGACCATCAGAAAATTTTGTATGTGAGTGACCATCTAATAATACATTGAATTCACCAAAATCATTATCTATTGGAGTCATATAAGATCTAGGATCAAATCTCCAATTAAATTCAATATCAGAATAATCATTTGAATCGGGTATAGCTTTATATTTAAAAATAGTCAAAAAAGTGAAAAGAAATACAAGGATAAGGATAAACTGTAAAAAACGTAATAGTACATCATGTAAATATAATCGAAATTTTAACGGTATCTTTATTTCACTTAAAACTGGTCCAGTACCACCATTCAACCGATGACGCTGGTTTTGTGGAGGTGAAGAAGTTGTTGGTAGAAGTGGAGTTTCAGGACTTATATCAAATTCTGATGAGTTCAATGTATTATAATTTTGTGTAGGACGAGAAAGAAGTGCATTTTCCTCCTGGTCCATTTTATATTTGAGAGAAAAGGAAAAAAAAAAATATAAAATAATAAAAATAAGTGAACTTCAACTTTAATAAATGAGAGAGAGAAGCATGGTTCTATACTCAAATTGGTAAGGTTTTCAGTTACAATTAATAATGTTTACCTGTTACAGACGATCAGCACTATAATTGTACAACTTGTACGAAAATAAAAATACATCGAAAACCATAAAATATAGATTATATAGAAAACATGTCATGTATAGAGGCCTATGTATGTACGTATAGCAATGTATGGCAACGTCCGGTATACATCACATCACCCCACCCTACAGTATGGTAAAAATGACCATACATACCGTACGTTGATCACTATACAGACATACATAGGCCTCTATACATGACATGTTTCCGTTGTACGCATATTTTAAAGAAGGAAATTTCCACCAATATGAATCCGAACGTGTTGAAATTTTAGCATTATATATTAAAAATGTGATGAACTAACTTACTTAGGCAATAAAAGCACATTAAGACTGAAAAATTTTATGTTTAATTATAGCTAAAATTTTGAATAACATTATCTGCGATATATAATTCAGCATTAATGGTATTTACTTGAAATTTTCAGGATATACGCAAATAATTATGATGCACAGATTTACTTATAAAGTAAAAGACAATTTAATTAATAAATAAAAATGTTTACTTATAAGAAACTATTCAAAATTGGTATCTGACTGTCATCTGACGCAAATCGACACCTGACGCACAACATATATATAGTATATTATTTTACAAATAATCATGTTAAATCTGGAAGAAAAATTAATTTTGTAATGGATGAAGAAAATATCTCTTCTATTGCAAGAATTCCAGTAAACTATTGGCTAATTCTGTTGGATACTTGGATTATAATCATTTCTCCAATTAGTTTTTTTTTGTATTGCATTTTTTGGAATTTAATATATGTCCGTAGGTATTAGTAGGGATTTTGGCAAGAGTTTGGATTATGGATTTCGGCAAATTGACAAGCTATAATTTGGCATATATCGAATCTCAAACATATTACTAAGTTTTGCACCAATTATCCGATTAATCAAAAATTCATGTCACGAATAAAAAATCATTTAATATAAAAGGAAAAAGTATGGAACGTGTAATGATGTTTGCAAAGATTTTCTTTGCTGAAACCTATCGATTTTGAAAAATGGGTTGGAAATATTTTTAGAAACTGATTGACATATTGCATGTACTGTACATTTATGTTAACTCTATTGTAACTCGACATTTGTATGGCAAGCCACTCTGGTGAAAAGTCTGTCATATTTTACAGCGGGTAGAATCTGGTAGATACTGTTAATATCGGTGGGTTATGCGGCGGGTTACCCTTGTACTGACCGCAGTAGTAAACAATGGATGCCTGCTATAGTAAACAGCGGTATCTGCCCAAAGTAAACAGCAGGTACCCGCTACTGGTCTCTAATTTTTTTTGAGGCAATTTTGACGTATATGGAAAAATTATAATTAATTTTGGGCGAATCTTTTAAATTTTTCCATATTAGCAGACCCTCCGCAGGTTGGATGTTACATTATGTACGTTCATAAACTGTAAGTTTAGACGATTGTAAGTCTCATGATTACAACTGACGCGATTTATTTGATATATTTAATATATTTATTAATTTAATTTAACTTATTTTTCGTGATTTCATCACCTACACTTATAATAATAATATACAAATTCTTGATTTATTGATTGAGTATTTCCACTTCATATTTTCTATAATGACCCAATATTAATAAAATATAGAAATCAAATTAGTGGTCAACTATTATAAAGCAATATTGTCTGATTAATCTTCGAAGTGATTGACTAACTGATAATTTAGTGATGCGCATTTTGATTGGCTTTACGAATTAAATGTAATAAATTATTAAGCGGGAAATAATCTGCAAAGTAGCTATTAAAAATCGGGTGAACTTTGTTATTTTTTCTTTATAGACAAGTATGCATTTCTTAAATATAATTTCAAATATAAAGCTAAATATATATAAATGCATTAGTTGGCTATACTTACTTAAGGTTTGGTGCCTTTTCTAAAGAAATGAAAAATGTTTTGTATGTGGTGAAGTTTTTGTACGACACTCACAGATTCCTGTGTAACAATCGCAAATTCCTGTGTAACCATATATATGACTTTTAACTTGCGTGTATGCATCATTAAATGATATTATACAAAGGTCAAAAAATTAAAATTTACTCTATACTAATGTAGAAATTGGTGTTAAACCAACTTTTGATAAAGAAAATTCATGTAAGATCTATTTTATGATTTTATACTTTCCCCCAAAAAATTCTCTACTTTTTAGACAGATTACGAATTAAATATTTTTCTTTAACGTATGTAACTTGTAAAAGATAACTTAATTAACTTATAATAACACGTTATACATTAGCAAATAGTTTTATATTTAGTATAATAACACAAATTATTTTGGCGTCACAATAAATAAAATATAATGATAATTTTTCTTAAAAAATTTTATGACATTTCGCAGTGAAATTCAACTTGGGATCAACTTTACACACACACGTACCATAAATGACATGTTAATAATAAAAATAGAAGTTTAATATTTGCGCAATAACTATCATTGGAACAAGTCTTATTGCTCTTGTGACCGGTTATTGGTTTATCAGGACCCAGAAATATATATACTGTACGGGGTAGGGTACACAGATGCGTCGAATTAGACGGAGTAAAGTTTTGATTTGCGTACAATTAAGAATTTTTCATCCATATAATATATTTACTGTACATTAATCGCATTTATTGTAATATTTAGTATTAATTGAAAAAAATTTCTAAGAGTTAAAAAGTGAAATTTTAGAAAAATATTATTGAAAAAATGGTAAATCCTATTTTTTCACATTAGTATTTGGTTTTATAAATAATATGAAAGTCATGATAAAATAATTTATAACTTAATGTCTGAATTTTATTTGCGTATTTTTGCAGGATTTTCAATATCAGGGGTCAATTATGCGTACTACTCATATAAAAAGTCTCTCCACCTGACCCTTATATATATATTTCTGGGTCCTGGTTTATCTAAAGTAAAAGAATTTATCCTGGTCATGCATTAAATACGTAATAAAATTTAATTATTATATTATAGTTTTTAAAGTCTGTAAAGTCTGTAATTGTATTAATTTGTACTAGGTGACTGGTGACGATATGTTGAAAAATAATATCAAAATTATACCGATATTTATATTAGTGGGAAAACAAAATTTTATCGTTAAATCGTTTTTTAAATATATATCAGTATATCGAACATCAGATCTGAATGTATTTTTTTTTGATACATTACATTATTAAATTAGAATATAAATTTTATAGAAATTTATTTATTTATTCTTATACATGTATTACATGTATTACATATATATATATGGTGCATGATCTTTGGCGTCTGTATAATAACATAGTTATTGGTTAGATATTACAAACTGCTTCGTAGTTCGATTTAACGAAACGTGTTTCTCTCTTTTTTCTTTTAAAAAAGATGGATTTCAGATATTCATCACGTTCGTTGGACCTAATCAATTTCGTCGATATCAATCCTTAGTAGATAAATTTATTTAAAAAATACACATCTTAAACCCAATTTATTCTGTAATGTCTAAGTTTTAATCTGGATGAAAAAGCTGAAGTATGAACCTATGAACCCGAAGTGGCCCAATTAAGGTCTGTACGAATCAAGATTAAAACTAATTCAGAATGTTTGTCTATTAGATAGGCCGGCGTCTAAGTTCTTTTTAATCACAGTCGCTAATTCGATATTATCGTCTATCAATTAATATGGTTCTATAAGATTACCAATTCTCTATGATATATTTATTCAGCAATAAAAAAATAACCTGGAATATCACGATTTCATCCAGAGAAATATTACAATCGATCAAAGCTGCTGGTATTTAAAACAATTACTCTTTCATATTTAAAAGATGAAATTTTTTATCCATCAAAATGAAATGTTTGTGATATATATATATACATTTAGGCAAAGGGTTGTAAAACATATTCATTTACTTTGATATTATATTTTAGGTCACAGGACCGATATAGCCCCACATCCAATAAAAATGATATCGTTCTGACGGTTTTGATCATGTATTTAATAATTAACTTTCATTTTTATGCTATTTCTAATCCACTTTATATAAGCTTTATTTAAACTTTTCCTATAAAAATTTCATCTCCCTCATATTTTTTTACTCCACTTTATTATATCAATAATGTATTATTGCTATGCCTAATAAAAATATCGGTCTATGAAAATCTGCATGGGCTGAATTCGAATTAAAATTTAATGGTTAATCTTTTGAATTCTTTAGTAATATAATTTAATGATTGTATATCATATAAATAATTATAATAATGTTATTGGTAATTAGTATATAAACAATTGATATAATACTATAATAATATATGAATTATAATAAATTGCAGTTTAATATAAACATGTAGTGTTTAAATAATTTAGGATTTTGCAGAGATTTGGAATTTGTGATTAGGAAACCAATATATGCAGAAGGCCGAAATGTTTCAAATACCCAACTTCAGTGCTTTCGTAAAAAACGAAGCAATGTAAGACTTGATTGTAACTGATCTTAGTCGTCAGTCAATTATAGATATATAGATATCAACTACATTAATTGATTACATTAACTTGAAAGTTACTTTTAAGAATGACAAAATAACATTTAGTTATTTACTTTTCTATAAAATATTTTCAGGAGTCAATGATGTAATTTCGCATTTATATATTGTCTGAGTTGCGTTAAGATTATCTCTAATTACAAGTTGACATTAATATGCACCATACAATAAGATATTTATTTTGTTCTATAATTAGCAGAAAAAAATAGTATTTATACAGGTTAATATAGAATGAGAATATAGCCATCATGATTGTATTGTTTCAAGAAACCAAATACAAACGATAAGTCATCAAGAAATTAAATTGTGCGATTATATGCGTAGATTTATCAAATATGTGTAATACCTGAAAATCTAC